TTATTAGCCTTTACACATAATGCAATTCCAGTAAGGAAGACTGGCAGCATTATTGGTGTATGGTTTGCCCTAAGACAATCGTCATAGTACGGTATTTTCCTCTATAATGATGAAATAGTTACAATATAAATTTAATAGATGTTCCTTTTTTATACATAATAAAAAATATATAGATACCAATTTAAATTCTTAAAAATCCTTACTAGGGGATTTCGACATTTGTACAAGTTACAACAATTGTAAATCCGGGTCATTCAAACAAAAAAAGTGAATAAACGCACTGCGCTTACGTTATTTATAAAATTATTTTTGATTTACTTTATATTACAATACATCTTTTACATACTCCTTAAATTCTGTTTTTATGATTCAATTTAAGTGCTAAGTCATAAATATCAACAAATTTAAGAAGAAATTCACAGACAATTGGACAGGCTGTTAAGTTTAACAACTATTAGTACTTTAAAACGAAGAATTTTATGACTTATTTACGAGAAAATAAAAATATATGCATGTTTTAAGATAGGTATACAAAATAGGATAATATTTTGAATATAAAAAACAAATATTGTGGTATACGTACACTCATGAAGAAAATAAAATAAAATCTCAATTGCAGTTAAGTTTTATTATTTTTATCCCTCAGTAATAAAAACTCTGTAGAATAGGGTCATTTAAAAAAAGAATAACATTGAGGGTCCTCAATTAAAAAATTTACTAATAGATAAATTTATATATATATATATATATATATGCTAAAAAGAAGTGGAATATCCAGGATTTTTCAGAGGGTGAGGTAATACCAAAAAAAATATTGGTAACTTTTTAAAATAATATTTTACCAGAATTTTGGTTTAGCACAACCAATGAGGCTTAGCTCTTGTAATATCCTGAATATGCCACTACTAAATAAAGCCCTATAACGCTATTTCGCATTTACCATATTTTTATTCTTTTATGTGTTTCTTCTATAACATCTACATTAGATCCACAACGATACATTTCAAAAAATGACTTAACCACTAGCATAACTAGAATAATTTTCGGGAGTTATATTTTCTCCGCAAGATCGAAGCCATCTTGTTCACGTACAGATAGGATCCTTCACGGATTACTATGCTAAGGACAGACACACTTCTTAAGCGCACTATGAGCTACCTAGACCTACTTAAAGATGTTAGGTTGAGCTTCGGGTCGCACATCGACAGTGGTTCCAGAAGGTCATGAATAACTTAGCAGAATTAATGCCGAACCTGGGGTACTGAGAGAAATCTGGAATCATGGTCTAGAGGCAAGCCACCACTCGGACTGTGTCACCCTACTGCTCGGTCTCTGACATTGCGGTGGGGATGCTTGCGGTCTTGCTAGGAATGAAGCACGCTGCTGGACATGATTAGTGGAGACAGAATGGTTGTTCACTTAGTGAAGACAACCATCATAAACTCCGCTCGTAACTATGCTCCAGTGGTGCGTTAATCTTTCCTTGGAGAAAGATACGTTGCCTGGACCCGACCTGGTTGAACCAATAGTCGGGTTGATCGGACTTGTAGGGAAATGACTTAGCGATTTACCAAGGTGGGAAACCAACGCCGTGTTGTGATCAGCTCTCAATTAAGTTCAGATTGTAAGGAAAAAATTGTAAATTATAAAGATATATTAATAGGTTATTACCAAAGTTTTTGTGACTTACATAATAAATTAAATGATTTAATAATTAATATGTTATCATATAATGCTGAATATATTGTACTAACTGAAATATGGTTTAACGTTTCAATTTTAGACTTTTAGTTTTTTTTTAACGATTATGTTATCGTTTGACCGAAACTACAAATCGATTTCTTGTTAATAAATATTTGTTAATAAACTATTATTTCAGAAGTTGTTACTATATCCATCGATAATGTAAAGTAATTGTTTATCAGTATACATGGTAATGGTAAGACAACATTATTTGACCAATTATATCCCTCTGGATTGTTCAATAAATGTATATTTGGCCCACGCTGAAACTGTCCAATATAAACGCCGATTCTACAGCTGTATTAATGGGTGATTACAATTTGCCAGATACAATTTTTTTAAATAATGAACATGGTATATGATGGAGTACGGTCAAATAATGCAGATGTTATTTATGAGTACTTTTCTTTCTTAAACTTGTATCAATATAACTATATTCCTAATATTAAAGGATTCTTACCTAGATTTAATATTTTCTAATTCTAATTCTATACTTGAAAATACTTCACTGGATTCTTTATTACCATTAGATTTGTATCATCCGGCATTATTTATGAGGACTTACTTGTTAGTTTATTAATATTAAACAACATGTTTGTAAGTTATGTGAGTTTTATTACTTTAAAAATGGAGATTTTAAACAAATATATAAAGACAGGTCATTTGGACTTGATATTATTTCAGGTTTACATTATAGTGCCTACCAATATTCTCTTACTCGTCTAATTCATTTTATATGTTTGCTATAGTGTTTTTCTGGAATACTCCCGGATTGTTAGATAATTAGCTATGTTATTTCTGTATTCAAATCTGGTATTAAAACTGATATTGGTAATTATTGGCCGATTTCTAAATTGAGTTCTGTCCAAATTTTCAAAAAGCTTTTAGAGCCAGAATTATTTTGGCATTAAAAAAATGTTTTTAAAAGCTGTCAACATGGATTTTGTGAATCTAAGTGAACAATAACCAATCTACTTATATTTTACTTAAGTATTGTTGCTACCGTTGCAGTTGTGGGTTATAAAAAAAAGCTTTTGATACGGTGAATTATTTAATTTTGATATACAAATTAAACATTTTGGCGTGAATGATCCATTATTCAAATGGTGGTTCACCTCATATCTCACTGACAGGAGCCAAAAAGTTAATATAAATAATGTTCTTTCTATTGTTATAAACGTTAAATTATAAACCTAATAGCATTTCTGAGACAGCTCACAAGAGAGAAAATCTTAGGGGGTATAAGTACCCTCAAACTTTCAATTAGTTTCGTCAATGGGTATAATTTTTATTTGTTATACAGAATATGTTAATAGGATTGTAAACAACCAATTTTTATAATAGTAGAATTTTAGCTTTATGCAATGTTGTTTCTAGTATTGGTGCCCCTAAATTAATTTATTCTGATAACGCCTCCCTTATCCAGCAGCTGATTATGTTACCGAGATACCTGAAAAAATTTCTTTGAGTCGGTTATTAAATCGCAACTCTGACTCGTCAAAACGGAATTTGTGTACATTTTTTTTGCTAATCATGTCATTTTTAAAAAGCAAGGTAAGATTGTCTGATTAATATTCACGTCCTTAATTTTTTGTCAATCTATCGCTGTCTCTATTATTAATTAACCTACTGTATTTATTCACAATTTTATTTTTAAGATTTTTTGTTTTAACTTTCTCAACAAAATATTAAATCTTTTAAAAACGTTAAATATTTGCCCTGATATTTTATAATTTAAAGACGATTTTTATGCGTTTCAATGTTCAATTATTTTTATAGATTTATTTCATCTTAATCTTAAATGTGCATTACTTCTGATTTCAAATAAAACGTTTTTTTAAACATCAATAACGATAACTAAAATTGAATTTAGAATAAAATTGGGTGTTTAAATATTTGTTAAACAGAGAGAGGAAATGACATATATATAGGTACCGAAATTAAATAATTATGTATTTTAATTATGTTGTGATAAATAAAATTTACAAATTTTGAAAAAATAGTAACTTCAACGAGGCAAAAATCATGAAACATGATGAAAATATTTATTATATTTAATAACACAAAGAAAATGAGATGTGTCTAAATATGAATTTATTATATTAGTAATGCTATTTTCTGAGAAATATAATTAAAATGTATAACCGTGGACGTCATGATTTAACTAAAAAATAGTCCTAATGTAAACTAGTTACACACTACGCGTTTTTTACTATTTACATTTCACGTCCGGTTAAAATGTAATAAATAATAATACCGTGTCGCTAAATTTGTCACGTTTCGGGTGTTCCTATTTATCATATCTATGACCATAGAAAATATAGTAGGTTCCTTTAGTTAAAATAAAAGAGATCATCAGGGCATATTTTAATAATTTTCAGTTTACGTTTAGTACAAACTATAATCATTTACATATTAGCCATATCTAGAAATAGTGCCTCTCTATAGAAAACCTTAATTTTTTCTTTTGATTAATCATTTAATTTTTCAACTTTTTAGAAATAATGAGCCAAAAAAAAAATTGAAAAGATATTTAATGCTTGAAATTCATATGCTTTAAGACTAATAATTAATTTAATATTTTCTCCAGTACTGTCCTTTAACAATCGTCAGATGCACGTGCGCCTAATATCCTTTTAAAATGCGGTCCTGTAATTTTGAAAATACATTATCTTGTGTTATTGGTGAAGATGTTTTTGAACGTTTAAACTAATAAAAACTATACGTAGGTTAAATGTGAGATATTATAAATACATTAGTAGATTTGTTTTCCTTTGAATTATTAAAAAAAAACTTTTTGTTATATTTTTGATACTTGTAAGTTTTTGTATAAAACTATAACCTTTTTCTTCTTTAGTTATTTTACTATATTAAAAGAAAGAGAACAACGAAAGTTGTACATATGTAAGAAGAGTAAATATTCATTCACATTCCAAGTGAAGTGCTTTTGCTAACAATTTTAGAACTATCTAATGTGTTGTTAAATTTTTATTTACGACTTATATATTTTATAATTATACCTTAGAAATAAGTACCTTAAAATACCTGTCACTCTTAAACATTTTTGCACTAGACGATCCTTGTGCTTCGAGTTGACTACTCTGAGCAATTAGAAAATATTTTTCCCAGGCGACCTTCTTTTGCTTTTAGATATTATTAAAACATTGTTATTGTAATTAAACATTAAAAAGGTTTTGAAACCTACCCAAAATTTTAAATTCGGGATAATTACCATTGTATTATACATATTTTTTTAGACTGAACCTGGGTTAGGTGATCGACATGCATCCGACCGTCAAACTTATCAAAAGTCATTGCTTTTCTACAATCATACTGAATGCGAATGCCAATCTAAAATTGAAGAGATGATGCCAAGAGATACGATCACTACTTCTTTGTCTTCTGATAATCAGCAAGTATCACTATTTCACAGAAATGATAACAGGTATTTTTTAGTAATTAAAAATATTATTTTTATTTAAATTTTTTCTTTTTAGTTGCAAATGTCCAACGGAATATACAGTACGCTATCTAGCAAATGGATCATGTTCTTGTGATTGTTTTGACAAACAACGTGAATGTATCCGTTATAAAAAAGGAAATTTATACTTCAACCATCTCGATAGATAGTAAGAAAATATATCTATATAATTTACTTAATAAACTGAAAAGCAATTTAAACACAAATTCCTAATTTGTTTTCTGATAATAGCTGCATAACGTCCGGACAATGTTTACTACCAATGTGCGAGTACGGGGTTTATTCTCATAGAACTGGACGTTGCCCAAAGAAGTACGAGAATCAGTATTCACTTAAAAAGAAACACTACTTTTAAGTATATTTTAAATAAATTAAGACTCTTAGTTTTACTAATAAACCTAATAATGTGTTCAGTTGTCTCTATGTATGTGTAATTATTACTAGTTTGTAATTATTATAAGATATACCAATAATTGTATTAAAATTGAGTTTGTAACTTTTCTTCCTTTTATAAAAAAAAAATATGTTTTATTTCTATAACACGTTATTGTTATATACTTGTATTTATGCTGGAATATAATATTTATAAATATTTTGTATATTTTTTTAAGTTATTTCTTAAAATTTTACTATCTATTTCAATGTTTTTAATAGATAATACCTAATTTGTAAAATATTTATTATTATACTAAAATATAAATATATATTTTTAATATTAATGTAATAAAATACAAAAATTTTGTATGTAACTATAAAGAAAAAATTTAATTGCTGACAATTTTTTTTGTTTGATATAAATTTATACAAAACTCATTAAAAGTAAACTACAGTAGGGATCTAATAAAATAGTTTATGTATTTTTAAAAAATTATTATTGAATAATATCTGACAGTGATTAAAATTATTGTCATAAAGTGCATTGATGTGTATTTGAAGCATACATTTTAATGTAAGTATTCTGTTAGCATGAAAAATATTACAAAATTAGTGTTCAAAATCTCTTAAAATCTAGATTTGGATAATTTTCTTTTTTTTTCTTCAAGTACATTATATTACCTTTAATTTGATATAGGTTAAAAAACATAAAAAAATTTTTGATAATAGTCATACAAATTGCTTATACTTTCTATCAATAAGTTTTATAAATTATTTTAAAATATAAAATTGTACATTTATTTTAATACCATATAAAAATGAAAAAGCTAAAATAACTAACACAAAAATAAAATATGCATAACAATCATGATAAAAATATTTTTTAAAATTCTATTAAAATAAAAATAATCTGAGTATATAATTTACAAAATATAATTCATTCAAAATGTCACTACAAAAAATCGATGTTTATTAAATTATAAAACTATTGATTTTATAAAATCATAATAATTAAAAATTACTGAAAAAATTCAAATGTCTCTTAATGATAATAGTATCAAAATATGAAATATTTATCGTTATACAAGATCACAGTTTATGTAAAAATTATATTACTTTCCCATTACACAATCTTGAAGCCATTCGTCAGTCATTTCATCTAAATCTCGAATTTCATATACTCTTGTCAAATTAGCTTCACGTTGCAAAGCCATTTTTGTACCAGCATACATTATCTGTAATTCCATATGACTATCTGTGAACAGTCATCTATTTGAATTTCATTATAAAAAGAATGTATAACTCCATATAGAGCATGTACGATTATTAATAAAAAACCATGCAATAAGCTAAATATAATACAAAGATATAATATAATATACAATAATATAATGATATAAATAAAGATATATTAGGGTTTACTCAAGGTAGCATACTTCTAAAAAAAAAAATACGGTAGCACAGTTAAAGACGTTGCGATACTACCGATTAGTGATGGGTCGTTCACGAACGAACGGGTCTTTTTGAACGGGTCATATCAGTGAACGAGTTGATCCGGATCGCAAAAAAAATAGATATCGTTCATTCGTTCATACGTTCATTCGTTCGTTCGTTTCACGCAATATGTCGGACACACTGTTTCATGATTCGTTCATTTACTGAACGTTTACCTGCACTTCGGTTAAAACCTATGCCTAACCTTATATTCTTATAATATAAAAATTTAAAAAAAAAACGAAGAATATATTCTTTATAAGTATATACTTATAATGTTTTTTTAAAAAATTAAATAAAAAAATACTTATTGCCAATGAGAGTTTAAAAGCAACACTATTTGGTTTGTGATAAAAACATTTTTATTGCAGGTCTGCAGACTAAATTTTCAAAGTTGTGACATGTTTCTACTAACATAATCATGCAGGTTTAATACAGTTAGATTATTTCAAGTATCCTACTATATTGTTCATTTGAAGAACAATTTTGATTATCAATATATAGCTATTTATTTCATAAATATTACATTCATATAATTATTTATAAGCGAAAATAGGTCTATGAATTATTGAATTTAGCAACTAGGACAAAAATTGACTATTAGACTAATATAATTGTTGTGAGAGGTATTAAACCACCTCACTCTTTTATAATCTGGTCATAGCTGCTGTAAATTGTAATATCTGATTTAGGTGAATTAATTTCTCTATAAAACTCCTTTTATGAAAACAAATAATTTAAATGATTTCGCTTATTATAGAAACAAATTCTATGGATTTATGTACCGCAACTCATCCGCTAGTATAAATTATTTGTTTTTATTCTATACAAAAATATTCGTGTATAACAGCATATTATGTTATTTCAAGTAATTTGTATTTGAAAAAATAATATATAACTCGATTATACAAGTGTATTATCAGTAAAAATTCTGATATCATGGTAATGTTACATGGTGAAAATGCGAATTTGAACGACTCGTTCAGGAAAACCATAGTAAGGAGTAATTGATAAGAACCGTGACCGATCGTAAGAAATGAACGAAAGAACGAGTTATATGAACGGGTGATTTGAACGATCCGATCCAAACGATCCGGATCGTTCGATTGACCCGAAATTCCCATCACTACTACCGATACCAGAAAAAGTATCGATACTTTTCTTTCGATATGAGTACTTTTTGTATCGATACCATGGTTTCGATACTTTACTCATATCGATAAAAACGTACTAGTATCGAATGAATGGTATCGAATCATTTTACCGCCACAATGCCATATCGATTTAAAAGTATCAAACAATTCTTCTCGAGTAAAATAGTTTGCGCGTGGTTGGACCGCCGGACCGGTTAGAAATTTGCTCAAACAAATCACACAATACGAATACGACTATAATTAATTCCTAATCGGAATGATAAAGTCCCCGTTTATCGATAAGGCGATAAATCATCTATTTTAAAATACTTTTAACAATGAATTCGGGGAAATACTCGAATACTGGATACGGCGATAATTCGGCATTCCGCTGTTCAAGTAACATTCGATCGACCAGTGCGAGTGCGACTACTCGATTTTACGAAGCCGCCTACTAAAAGAGTAAAAGTTGGATTTATTTAAAAAAAATGGACAGTTATTGCGCAATGCAAAATTTGCTCCCAAAGCGTAAAATACTGTGGCAATACGACCAACTTAAATAAACATTTAAAAAAACATCCAAATGTATTGGAACCCGGAACGAGTGGTTTAACAAGAAAAACTTGTCAACAAATGAAATTAGCTTCGATACCTGTAATTAATCCTGTTTTGACGTCATATCAAATTCCTTCGGTTACAACGTTGAAAAATGCTCTTGATAATAAATATGAGGTCACAAAAGAAATATTAAAAGGTTGTTTGTTGGCAGCACCACACGTGTGTATTACATTGGATTCATGGACTGAGACGATGAATGAAAAAAGTTTCCTTGGTGTGATAGTACACTACCTCAAGGATATATCTATCAAATCACATTGTTTAGCAGTTGCAGAACTGAAGGAAAGACATTCTGGCCAATATATCAGTTAGATTCTAGATAAAATTCTTTTAGACTGGCAAATTGATAAAAGTAAAATTGTTACTGTTGTAACGGACAATGTCGCAAATGTAGTTGCTGCCGTTAATAAAACATTCGGCAAGAGTAGGCATACCCCATGCTTTGCACATACCATTAACCAAGTGTCAACACATACAGTTGGTCAAAAAAATATAAAACCTATAATTTCCAAAGTAAGAGAAATTGTAAATTAGGTGAAAAACAGCGTCATCCACAGTGATCAATTGAGAAGAAAACAGTCTGAAGCTGGAGTTCCTGAAGGATAATTTAAAAAATTAATATTAGATGTTCAAACAAGGTGGAATTCTGTTTTTTTTATGATAAGTAGATTTATAGAAATGGTGTCTTTTCTTAGTGCAATGTTACTCAATGATATAACTGCACCTAGTAAGCCAACCGCCATAGAAATAGATATCCTCCGACAATTAATTGAATTATTACAACCATTAAAGTATGTCACAAAAGAATCCTCTGGAGAAAATTATATTACTATCTCAAAAGTGATCCCCGTGATTAACTGCCTATTAATACAACTGGCCCAAATTCAACCAAGATTTGATGTGTTGATCGAAATTAAAGATAAGTCAAATTATTTTCGTATTATACGGAAATAATTAGAAGATTTAGACTGATTAAGTAAGTAAACCCGATTGCTATTGCCACAATTTTGGATCCAAGAATCAAAAATCTTTACTTTAGCGATCCAATTGCTAGTTCAAGTGCAATGGCAGAACTTCGAAGACTATCAAAACCAGATATATCATCTAGCGAATCAGAAGGAGAAATGACAACATCTAAAGAAAATGTGGAGAGTTATGTTATTTGGGCTCACCATAGAAAACCCCGTGTCTCCACTGAAGTCAAATCCTTTAGAACTTTGGGAAGATATGAAAACAGTCTTTCCCATGTTATATAAACAATCAAGGATATCTTTCACTATGGTTGTAACATCGGTTCCATGCGAAAGACTGTTTTTAAAAGCCGGAAAAATTATGACAAAAACAAGAAACCGTCTAACAGGTTCTCGTTTAGAAAAAAATTTACTCTTTGCAGATCTACTCAAAGATCAATGGTTTTAAGTTATAAAAAATAAATTTTTGAATAATATTATATAATTTGTATTTTGTATTGTACATAAATAGTTTCACTATTATGTTTTTGATTATTTTGTTTATTTTAAATCATAATAAAAAACTTAATTTAATATACCTAAAAGCATTTAATATGTGTTTAACATTATTTCTGTTCCTATAAAGCAGTCATAAAACTAATACATAAAAAATTAATAATAATAAATTAACAAACTTTTTCATTTACATTAATAATAATTTTTTTTTTGGTTGCATTTTGATTCGTATTCTTTTTCTGAAGAACTTATTAAATTTGATAATTTGGGGTATATCGAGTTATGTAATAATATACCTATAATGTATGTATATAATATAATATACATCTTTGTAACTTATTAAAATAATTAGAAAACAGGACAAAAAGCGTTTTGAGAGACGGTCATCAGGACGACAGGATACAACACTAAAATAAAGGACAACCTGTATATAACAGGACGTATGGTCACCCTAAAATAAATGAAAACTAAAGCCTGCAGTTTGCAACGTTGTATACAGTATACTTGTATCCAGCTATCGATACTTACTCATATCGGTCCATTTGTTTCGATATTTTACTCATATCGGTATTTTAATTCGATTCGATACCAAGTAAAAGTATCAATACTTTTCTTTCGATATCACGTCACTAAGCACAGTAGTCACGACACAGTATGGATGTGGTATAGTTGGGACAAGTATAGATGATTTCTGACAATGATTAAAATCACTATCATAAGAAATGCTTCGATGCAAATCTGTAGATAGTGTTTAATTTTAAGAAATTGGTAGAATATTTCAAAAGCAACAATAACTCTTATTCCCTTAATTTTATTCCGATTAGTTATTTGATTTATTATTATAATATATGAATAAATAATAATTAAAGTAATTAAATTTAGTATGAAATTGATATTCAATAATTTAATATTGTAATTTTTACGGAGATATTATAAAAATAATAAAGTAGTTGTATATTTCTTTACTTTTAATGCGTATAAAAATTTAAAGGGCTTGATGCAATACTTTTCAATAAAATTTTTTTGTTTATTATAACAAAGTTATAAGTTTTATACACTGGACTACAAGGAACTTTCATTAGAAACAAAAATATACTTTTCTAAATCAACTTTTTGCACAGTTTTCAAATGTGTAATTAGACTTTTTCTATCACTTCTAAGTTTTAATATTATTACTTATTATTAAAAAATAAGTAATTACATATAAAAAAATTATTGTTTTAAATTAATACGGATTTTGATTTTTAATATATTAAAAATAAGGAAAATGACATATTTAACCTATTTTTTTAATCCTTTAAAGTTCATTTTTGTGAAAGTTTATAATAAAAAAAAATGTATTTATTATCATAATGTAATATCCTTTTGTTACTTAATTAAATTCTTACATCTCATCAACGATTACCAATAACATAGCGACGCCGTTGAGGCGTGTAATAGTTTAATTTTGTTTGTATGGTCCTTGCCGAATAAGCCATAAATGAACTCATACAGTTTCGCGTATGGATTAGCAATATACAACACATTACTTGTCATTGTTTGTTTACATATCCTACACAAACAATGATACAATACAAATCATTCCTCGTAACGCGTTGTAAAGGACACCTTTCTTTCAATTAAGTGACTTATATTATCACATAAAATTTTATTACTATGATTTATTATAACAGACCTAAGAGCCCTCTGGGATCTGATCAGTCATTTGACATCCGTCAAAGAGTCACTTCTTTTTTTTTTCTTCTGGCGTTCAGACTTAAGTGCTCGGCTTTGCTCCATTTTACTTTGCAGCTTTTTATCTATTTTATATTGTGACTTAGTGTCTTCATTCTTACTATAGTTCAATAGTTTAACTTGAGATAAATTCATGTTTGAATAATTATCTAAATCAATTACAATATATGCTTACATAACAAACTATTTTTCTTCTTATTTAATATCTAATAAGTCTAAATCACTTCTTCTCCTCTCTACACCGTGGAACTTGATTTGCAGCCAAGATATATCAGGTAAGAGTAGTTTAAACACATTAACTACACTAATCAAGTAATAACTAGAAACAAAGTACTTTTATTTATAATGTCTTTACGGTGATGGTATTAACTTTATTTTTAGTTATTATAATAACTTTTAGCTCAACTTGCAACTTTGAAATTGACATCAATAAATAGAAAATTTTATAAGAATTAAAAAAAATTGTATTGTTAAGATTAATATGCAGTCAAGAAATTTTATGATTACTATTTATAGTAAATTTATCAGAAAAAATCAATATTTTTTTGGATTTTTATAGTAATAGATAACTTAAATAGAAATAATAGTAATCATTTCCTAGTAACTTTTGGTGTTTAAAAAGATTCTATAAATGCTTTATTAACTGAATTAATTTTAATGATTTACTTTAACTAAAAAAACCAATCAAAAAAAGTTGTTAAAAGATCTACTCAAAAGAGCATATTATAAAATTTGATTATAATTGTAAAAATCCATTGTTAATTCAGAAGAAATTAACAATCATATTTTTAGAAATTATTTATATAGCAACATGTTAGCAAACAAAATAAATGATAGTCACAAAAAATTCCTAACCATACGCGGGTTGGAACCTTGAACCCTAAACGCATAAGACACAAGTGTTTCCGACTCGGCAACTGTACTTCGCTTCGGTCGAATGAAATATTAATTTGATTTATATAATATTTATGAAAATAAGTGTACTCCCCTTGTCAGGTATTTTAAAATAAAATAAAATACAAAACTCAGAATTTTATCACAAATATAGCATATTTAAAAGAAAAAAAAGTGAAAAAATTTCGAAAATTAGCGATTTTTAAATTTGTAATTTTTTTGGATATTTCCCCCATTTGCGGGGAACGAGGGAATGTATTTCAATTTTTAAGGGTAATGTCTTCGACTAGATACGATTTGTGATCTTTGGACGTATTATTCATAAGAATCGGTCCAGTGAGAGCTGAGGTTAAGTGGTAACAGACACACACACACACACACACACAAAAAAAAATAATAATAATAAAAAAAAACACATCATAGTAAAATAAAAAACTTCTCAGCTTCGTATTGAAGCTATAACTTATTATCAATTATTTTATAGAGTTAAAACAATATACTACAATATTATTAGGGAGAAAAAATGTAATATTTTGTTTATATTTTTTGTATAAAAGGTTGTTTTAGATAATAATGTATATTTAAAATCAAGTATTTAGATTCATTCTTCATTGGGTCACATCTATCAAATTGTTTATGTAAAATATAACAGTAGCATATGTTTTATATAGTATTCGGGTGGAACATGTCTTAATAACAATATTAGAACTAGAACTTATTGAGCTACAAGCATTTTGGTGCATAAAAAAAGTATGTAGGATGAGTGAGTAATAATTGTACTGGTGTATATTTATCATGAATACTTCAGTTACGCTACATGATCACAGTAGGTATTAAAATGCTTGTAATTCAATAAGTATTTGTACTAATTTTATTATTGCTTCATAAATAACTTTTAATAGAAAAATGTTATTTTATATTTTTGAAAAGATTTAAAATTAATATATTATAAATGATATTTTTATTACTAAAAACAAAAAATAAAATAAATAACTTTAACAAAGTTATGAATGCTAAATTTAAAAAAAAATTACAGTAAAATATTAATTATATTAAAAATTATAATATTTTTCAATTAAATATGTGCCACTCTGCATAATATTAATTTTTATTGAATTCATAGTAATTTTAATCATAATAAATATTAGCAATAATAATAGCTATTATATTATTTAATATATTATTGCTCTAATGTCAAAAATTACAAGGAATATTTTTTAGTTTTGAAAAAAATAAATAGTTTTGTAATATCTAAGTTACTCAAAATTGTACAGGTAAAAAGTAACAATTTAATTATAATTTTAGCTTCGATGCGAGACTGAGAAGTTATTGGTTTTACTATGATGTGTTTGTGTCTGTTACCACTTTTTCTCAACTCTCACTGAACCGATTTCTTTCAACGATACGTCAAAAGATCATTAATTATATCTAGTCGAAGAAATTACCCTCAAAAATTTAAACAATTTTCCTCGTTCCACGTAATTTTCCCCATACACAGGGAACGAGATTTTCCTCAATCTCCAAAAAAATTTCAAATTTAAAAATCGCTAATTTGTGACATTTTTTCAATTTTTTTTACTTAAATCTGCCATAACTTTTTCAAAAATAAACAATTCAATATAATTTTTTTTTTTTGAGATGCTTGATGTCTTTACCTATCATTTGGTATATTTTTTTTATTAATCTGACCCTTTACCAGCCCAAAAGAGGGGATGTAAAATGACAACTTTTTCACAAAAAATTTACTTTTTCAATTTAACTTTTGAAAGTGTGATACTTTTATATATATCTTAAATTAAAGCTAATGTAATGTACTTTATTATGGAAAAAAAAAATTTCGAACTTCACGGTGAAAATGGCTATCAAATGCTATTTTTGTGTAAAAATTATAGATTTTATTTTTTACATTTATAACTTTATAATGCTATAACTTATTGAAAAGTCAATACACTTTTGAATAATACACATTAAATACACAACTTAACTTTTGAAAGTGTTCCGGAAAGTCTGACACTTTTATATATATCTTAAATTAAAGGTAATGTAATATACTTTATTATGGAAAAAAAAAATTTCGGACTTTATTTTATCTTCACGGTGAAAATGGCTACCAAATGCTATTATTGTGTGAAAATTCTCGATTTTATTTTTTACATTTTTAACTTTATAATGCTATGACATATTGAAAAGTGTATGGATCAACACAATATTTTTATGAGAAATAATATTTATATCCCTTTTTTATTCGACATACTTTATCTTAGATCTTTATCTAGGAGATCATGTAGCTTTTGGAATAATCCACTAATTTTTTAAAATTAAACACTATCTAAAAATTTGCATTGAAGCATTTTTTTTTTATAGTGATTTTAATCACTGTCACATATCATTTGTACTTAATCCAACTATGCCACGTCACCACTGTGCTGCGACCCCCCTATGCTGGGTTTTTTTTTTTAGTTCTATGTATTTTTTAGTTTACGAATCATGAATTATGTTTGGTATGGTCATCCTTTATACCTTATAAGGCTTTCAACTTTATTTTTTCAAATGACTACAAAAATTATTAAAATAGCTTATTTATTAAATATTGATCTAATTATGAAAATTACTGATTGACAACAACTTTTAGTTCTGTATTTCAGAGGCTATTATACCTAGGTTATGGGAATGAGTCAAAAAAATATCTAATGTTAAAAATAGTATTACCCCTCACATCACTTATTGACATTAAAAAAATAAAGTTTACATCCTTATTGGGTATAAGAAATTAACATAAAACATACTTCATTATTAAATTTATAAAATCATGGAGCTAAAATAAACCAATAAAAACATTATTAATATTATTTAATTTTTCAATCAATTAATGGTAAAAGAATCACCTTATATACTTCTAATCTATACAAAATGAATAAATATATATTTAATAAAAAATTCAAAAATTAATTTTTTTAAAGATATCCTAAATGTTTATTTATTTTCATTAAATGTTATTATTTACCTCTTGGAGTGAAATAAATAAAACACATGGGAAATGATACCCTACCATCACCATGTTCCATTTTGCAACAATAAATAACATAACGAGGTTGATGACCTGGTAAAATCTCTCTTAATTCTTCTAAAGATATGTTATCCAATATTTCGTCAACACATACCTGTTGTTTTTCTCGATCAACTTTCACTAATAAAATATAAAATAATATTACAAATTTAAATTTTGATATTAATATCTAGGTTTTGAGTCAATATTAATATATTATCAAACTATCAATATTTTAGCTAAAATATACATGTTAAAATTACTTCAACACCTCTTAAGAAAAAGGTCGTATTTTTAAAAATCTTTGTTGTATAAATATATAAATGTTTTAAACCAAAATAAGTTAATTATACTTGATTTAAAACTTGTTTAACAAACATTAACTTATAATCTTTTTTTATAGGAAGTGTCAATTTGATCAAAATTAACATATAACATATTTACAGAATAATGTTTTATAATTTTCTCATTTAGTTAATGATTCAGAATGACATTATTCAATTAGTTAATTAAAACTAAAACTACAGTTTTTAGAACTAACTTATTAAAGCAGCATTTGTTGTTGCTTTTCGAAAACGGAATTGTCTTAATTTTTCCTTCACATCATCGCTAATGTCACAAACTTTAGTTCCCTGATAAATTATAAATTAAATATATTAATATAGATGGTAAATAAAAATACTAATAGCTATATGTTAATATATTACAACTAAATTTTTTACATAATTAATTATTTAAAATATTAAATATGAATGAATGTGGTAATTACAAATGTATTTATAAAATAAACTATTTAACAAGTATCACAACTAATTAAGTAATTTTCTTACTAAATATTAAGTTACTATAATGAATAAAAATTTAATTTACAATTACATTAATTTTTATATTTATCATACTTATTTACTGTTATATATTTATCATTTTAATAAAACTTGATAATTAAAGGTAAAACACATTGATTTCATTCAGACTAAAAAAATGTTTGATGAATATCAGACATTTAACATTATAACTTTAGTTAAGTTATAAATTATACAGTTGATACAATCTTCTTCTCAAATTGCCATTGTCATACAGATTTTCAAGTATGGTCAAACCATTAGAAAAATGTTTAAACAATACTTAATCTGTAAAATAGCAATTTGAAAGGAAAATTATGTTTTTATACAATGTCTTAATATTTATTTGATTTACTGTAGTTTAAACTACATAAGTTTATATATATTTGAATAGAAGTACTACATTGTTTAGACTTACCATTTTAAAACTCAATTATGAAATTGTAGAGTCAGAAAGATACAAAAATCAATTTTATGAAATTAATAAAATTAAGTTTTAGGTTATATTTTTAATACATAATGTCCCTAATCTTTGCAAAAGTGTCAAGATTGAAGTTTGCTTGTTATATTTATAATTCTTAATTTTTTTATTAATGTGCAATTATAATATTGAAACAATTTATAGCTTTATATACCGATTATACTATCAACCCTTTAAATACCCCTTCTCATAATAATGTTATCAGTGACAAAAATCTCGGTAGTGATTAAATATTTCTGTTATATAAGAATTGAGCTTAGATAATAAGTATCTAGTAAAAAAAAATGATTAGCAGTATTTAATCGTACGCGCGTCATTATTATAATTGTTAAAGTAGACGTTAGACTTATACAAATTTTTAGAATTTATTACGTTATACCTTATTTTTTTTAATTTAAAATAAAATAATTCTATAGGATTCAATTTCTTTTTTAATATAAATTTATTTAACGGAAATGGAGAGACCTTCAAGGAAAACTAAACCGGTTTGTTAAACTTTATATTGTTTGTTATAAATATTATGTTTAGTTGAAAAATCTATTGATCTTATAATTGTTTGACATTTATGAGATTACATTTTTCAAACAATGAATTAAAATGATTAAAGATTCTTTATTGATTCATGTTGTGATGATAATTAAGTCAAAGTAAAATAAGTTAAAGAAACTATCCGTTATTGTCATAACTTCTTTTGGTCTATTTTCTGTTCTCACATTCTGTTATGATTCTTTTTTACTATTATATCAATGAAAATTATAAATGTTAATTTAATATATTAAACTGTTATTATATATTCAGGTAAGGTCTGGCCTCTGGGTAATTGTCTATAGAGAAATGAGGCTGGTATGAATAGCATATTCCAGTTTATTAAATAAACTTTGATTTTTTTTCATAATTTCTTTTTTTTTGAGTAAGTAGTAAGGCTAATGTAATAATAAAAAAAGTCAATAATAATTAATGCAAAATATTTGCTGTACTAATAGTTATAAAGGATGTTAAAACCAGGTTATAAATTATGCAAATTAGACGCTTAGGAGATGAAATAAAATTTGATAAATTAGGCTCAATTGATTATTACACAAAATTATGTCTTATTAAGGAAACCCCTTATGTTTATACATAAACTTCATTAATAATTATGTATTCCAAAATTTTTTAGTTTAGTTGAATGATTTTTATGAGAAAATGGGGGTGTACAAGAGACTTCAAAAACTTTTGACATTTTTTTACTTTGTGGTATATGGAACTACAAAAACTGTATACTACATAACTAGTTAATTAAAACAAAATAAAAAGGTTTTTAATGTTATTAAAATGAAAAGTTAATGATTTTCTTTAAACAATGGAGAGAAGAATCAGATGTTTTGTGAGTTAAGAGGGTTCCAAACCAATATAAATATAATATAAAATGTACATTTTATGGGACAGTAGTTACTCCAGAAAAGATATGTTTGAAAGTGATAAATGATAAATTTAAGAATGTAGCAGGAAAAGAGTGTTGTAGTAAAATAAGAAAATGTAACTGATTATATAGTTGAGTATTACAGATATCAAAACAGAATAGCAGACCTCAAATAGCTTGGAGAAAAGGCAAGGGAGAAAAAAAAAGAGTTAATAAAATTTTAATATTGATTAGATTGTGATATTTGTATATCTATAAAAAGAGTTGAGACTATATTAGTATTACATTATATTATTTTATAACAACAAAATTGTCAAGTATAGAATACAATGTAGTATTATGATAGATATTTCATTGAAAAAGCTATTAATTTGTTATATGTGTTGCTTTTGTTAATATTATTCTAAGTAATGTATCCTATTCAGATGATTTTATAGCTTTATTAATTTTTTACATGTATATTTACAATAAAAAAAAAAATTTCATGGCCTAATATATATATATAACTATATCGTTACAATTTCGTTTTACGACGTTTTCTTTGAATTTTTTTTTTTTTTTATATATATAATGATATTCTTCTTGAAATACGTCGAACATGCGTATGTACATGTATGTAAGTGAATACAAAAATATACTAATAAAGCTATTTCAATAAATGTTCAATGATAACATATTCACTTAATAGTATATTTTACTGTTCAAGTATCAATAATTTGTGTTATTATACAATTTTGATAAAGTAAGTGATTAAGATGTATATATTAATTTTTAGTTGTTTATTAAAAGTAGGAAATTATTTTTTACTTCATAATTTGTGTTATTAAAAAATAATTGATACTTAAGGAATCATTATTTTTCAGTAATTCGATATATTAATTTATTTTTTAGAATACTACTATGAAATTATACTTTATAATGTATAATAAACGACTTGATAATATTATTATTACGTCGTTGCAATGCCAAACATTATACCAATTGTACTTTTTTTTTTTAAAACACAACCAGTGGCGGCTTGTGGCTTGGACGACGGGACGTTCGCTCGCCCCTACTAAAATCAACTGAAAAAAGAAAATTAATTGTATATTTTTAATTTTACATTTTTATTAAAAATACAAATTTTTAAATAATAAAATAGTTGTAATACATTTGTCGTGAACGAACATTAAAATTGTTTCCCTCAGTGTATGCGGTATAGTATAGTATACTTGTCTATGCGCATGTACACATAAGCAGTGTTTGGACGACCAACAACGTCGTCCGGGTAATATTCTGAAACGTTTATTATAATCGAGGTGCAATTTGTGTGCGTGCGGGTACGTTTTATCTGAAATCTTATATACGTGTTTTGGATGTCCATACAGTAAAATATTAGTATATTACTATATTGGCTAATTTATTTTTAATAATAATACGTGTATTGTATTTTATTTTATTATATTTCATTTGTCAATTTTTTATACCTATGACTAATGGTATTATATTTAAAGTCGCATTCCTATCACCAGCACCCACTATCCGCCACTGTACATAACTTTGAACGAATGAGTTTATTTGGCTCGTATGACATGTTTAAGAAACATCAACCTACGTTCCCCAGTTAATATGAGCATAATACACCATCATAATCATTAACTTTTACGTTTGATGAATAATATTTTGAAGAACATTATAAATTTTTGTAAATTAATAAATAATTTAAACTAATATTAGTTAGATAATATCAATCTCAATTTTATCGTTTTTAGAATATTATCATTTCTGTACAATTTCCATCATGAAGAATTAATATTTTCAATTTTATATGATTAAAATAGTACAGAATTCAATAACGATATCAAAACTAGAGTGATTGTTCATAAAAAAACGGATCATTCGAGTTTTCCAAATGAATCGTTCGATTGACACGAAATTACCACCACTAGAACTATTGCTTTTAAAATTTTAATTGAAAACATAAGTGTAACAACACTTTTTTAAAGTTTAGCGTATATGCAAGTTTCATTATTGAAGAAACTGTTACTAAGTGCAAAAACAAACATGACAATTCGACGTGGATCTATAACAAAAAAGAAGCCAATTTGTTTCCCATGTTTTAAAATAAAATAAATTTGTTTTTATGTCTCCTGAAAAGTTTTTAAAAACGGTTGTACCTTGTTATTGCACCGAACCGATTTCTTTCAACGATACGTCCAAAGATCACAAATCGTATCTAGTCGAAGACATTACCCTTAAAAATTGAAATACATTCCCTCGTTCCCCGTAAATGGGGGAAACCTCCAAAAAAATTACAAATTTAAAAATCGCTTATTTTCGAAATTTTTTCAATTCTCGATTTTATTTTTTATATTATATTTTACTTTATAATGCTATAACTTATTGGAAAGTGTTTGGATCCACACAATTTTTTTATGAGAAATAATATTTTTTAATAAACCCTTTTTCATTCGACATACTTTATCTTANTTAATTCTCGATTTTATTTTTTATATTATATTTTACTTTATAATGCTATAACTTATTGAAAAGTGTTTGGATCCACACAATTTTTTTATGAGAAATAATATTTTTTAATAAACCCTTTTTCATTCGACATACTTTATCTTAATCAAGATATTAATAAGAAACCAGCATATCATGTAGCTTTTGGAATAAAACACCAATTTTTTTTAAATTAAACACTATCTAATGATTTGCATCGAAGCGTTTATTTTTGATAGTGATTTTAATCACTGTCAGATATCATTATACTTGATCCAACTATGCCACGTCACCACTGTGCCGCGACCCCCCTGTGCTGGGTTTTTTAAAAATGAACATATCAATATAATATTTTTTTATATAGATGCATGATATCATTATCATTCATTTGGTATACTTTTTTTTTATATCTGACCCTTTAACTGCCCACAGGGGGGGATTTAAAATGACAACTTTTTCACAAAAAATTAATTTTTTCAACTTGATTTTTGAAAATGTTCCGGAAGGTCTGACACTTATATATATCTTAAATTAAAGCTAATGTAATATATTTTATAATGGTAAAAAAAAATTTCGGACTTTATTTTTACTTCACGGTGAAAATGGCTACCAAATGCTATTATTGTGTGAAAATTCTCGATTTTATTTTTTACATTTTTAACTTTATAATGCTATGACATATTGAAAAGTGTATGGATCAACATAATTTTTTTATGAGAAATAATATTTTTTAATAATCCCTTTTTCATTCGACATACTTTATCTTAATCAGGATATTAATAAGGAACTAGCAGATCATGTAGCTTTTGGAATAATCCACCAATTTTTTAAAATTAAACACTATCTAAAGATTTGCATCGAAGCGTTTTTTTTTTATAGTGATTTTAATCACTGTCAGATATCATTATACTTGATCCAACTATGCCACGTCACCACTGTGCCGGGTTTTTTTTTTATATAATCAGAACTGGTATTTAAAACTGTTGCACTGTTGATCATTTTTGGATCATCTATCTTAACTAGTTGTCTAAGTTCAATAATTATAATAGCTATCAATAATAATTTTAGTTTCGATGCGCAGCTGAGAAGGTTTTAATTTTAGTATGATAAGTTTATTTTTGTAGTATAATATTACATATTGTATGCACATTTACCTGTTAGAATATAATGAATATTTCTTTTATTATCTAAACTTAAACCATGTTGTGTAACATATAAAAATATTATGTAATTATTCAACATAAGATTAAAATTTTTTATCTTATTTATATAGTAAAACTTTATTTTATACTCGACAAAAATAAACTACCAAGTATATTTTTTTTTATTAATTATAAACTACATGATTATTTATTTTATCAATTAAAAATTCTTCCCCTTATACAAATAGTAACAATTGTTTATTAAACAAGTAAATAAATGGTTGATTAGAAAGAAAGGAAATTAGCTTAGAAAAAAAACATTCTGTTGATAATTTGGTGATTAATAATGATTATTAATCGTGGTAATGTTAATGATTAATTATAATTAATTATTAATAGGCCTTCGTCGATTTATTCAGCCGCCATTATGTACAAAATCAAATTGACTATCCTTGGATTTTTTTTTAATTTAAATAAATATTAATTAAAAATTTTTTTTTTCTCATCACATAATTTTTGAAAAAAAAGTATTTTTTTCATCTGAATGACACTCTTTATTTTCGAAAACATGATAAACACTTCAGACAGTTACATTTGTAGCTGGACTTAAAAATTATATATATATATATTATACATAAAGAGGTTTTTATTTGTTAATGTTTGTACAGACATTATTTGTCCGGAAACAAAAATTTGTAATACTGTTTTCAGGAAATAACATTTTTACTTACCTGCTACTTCTTCTTTAAATGCATTATTGTTAGTAGTAGTAACTTAAAATTTGTTTATTTTTCATCAATTTTATACTTTTATTACATACATTTTATAATATTCATAATAAAAAATTTTTAATACTAATTATAATTTTTGATAATTTATAGAATCATAGTTCCGATGAAGATTACACTAATGATAAAAACAAACCTCCAGTTTACCAAAAAAAATTCATTATCTACAGTATTATTGCTGTAGCTACTATGTTAATATACTGTAAATATATTTGAAATATAAATAAATAATAAATACTTATTAAAAAATACATTTTCAGCTTATTACAGTATACACAAATCAGATATTTTACAAGAAGTTAGTAAAAAAGGAACCTCTTTAAAACCAAAATATGCTGTCATAATTGATGCTGGTAGTACTGGATCTAGAGTTTTAACGCTTGCTTTCAAGGAATCTTTAGGTAGAAATTGCTATTATAACATTTTAGTAGGCCAAAATTAAGAGCAATTCTAAAAATCTAAAGAATATTAACAAAACTCATAACTATTTACGAGAGTTTCAGTCTGGCTTGTGATGTGGTTAATGTTACAACATTTTCTTATTATTATTATTAATTTTCTATAATTTTGATTACTTTAGGTGGTGGCTTAACCTTAGAAGATGAACTTTTTGTACAAGTAAAACCTGGATTGTCTAGTTTTGCTGATAATCCATCAAAAGTAATTTCAGAATTTATTTTAAATAAATTACATTTTGTATCTTTATATTTTTCTTGTTTAATGGCCACTATAGGTTTTCTTTAAAGAAGAGGTTTCTTAAACATATATACCATAGGGTTAATGGTACTTCCATTGCCATTTATTTCTCCTGTACTAGACTGAAATACATTTTAAATGTTACTTAAGTAAAAAGTGACCAATTGTTTTTCTTTATTTTAATTTTTATTGAATGAAGGATATATCGATAATTATTTGTAATTTATTATGTATTATTATTATTTAATTTTTGATTTATGAATACTATATTAATAAAAAACTGTGAGAGATTGAAAAATATTCTCTCCTGGGAAGTAAAAAAGTTGAAAGTTATTTCCTTCAATAAATAGTAATTAGATCAGGAAAAATAATATTAATCTTACAACGTTTTTTTTTTTGTAGAATAAATTTATCTATACTTTTATAAGCAATATAGAAATTAAAAGGGCTTAAGAAGACCTATCCATTGCAACTTAATTGTTTTATTTTATCAAATTAATTAACATATTTATTACTTATTTAAACAAATTTTTTTGTTTATATATATTTAGGCTTCCGAATCAATTAACCAATTATTAGCTAAAGCTCAAAATTTTGTTCCTAAAGAATATTGGAAAGACACACCACTTGCTATGAGAGCAACAGCTGGGTTACGTTTATTGCCATCTGAAAAAGCTGATGAACTTCTAAATGAAGTAATTCATTTTTTTTAAATGTTCATTTATCAAACATGTTTTATAAATATGTTTCATTAGATGTTACGTTTGTTTGAAAGAAGTCCATTTTATACTAATAAAAATTCAGTTGCTATTATGGATGGAATTGATGAAGGGCTCTTTTCTTGGTTTACAGTCAATTTTCTTCTTGGTGAAAATAATACTTCTTTAATTAAGTTGATATGACAACATAGTTTTATCTTTCCAGATCGACTTAATGGTAAATTAGAAAATTCTGTAGCTGCTCTTGATTTGGGTGGTGGCTCAATACAGATTACATTTATTCCATCAGATAGTACCCAATTAAAAAAAAATTTACCCGAGTTCATTACTGAATATCCAATAATGAACCAAAAAGTTGATTTATATAGTCACAGGTATGAAAATCAAAAAATATAATTATTTAAATTGACACTAATATAAAACACTTCATACATATTTAAAGCTATTTAGGCTTAGGGTTAATGGCAGCTCGTAAAAGTGTTTTTACTATTGATGGAGAGAATTTGAATATTACTAGTCCATGTGTGAGTGTTGCTGCCAAAGGATCACCTTTTAAGTTTGCTGATGTAACTTATTATATTAAGTAAGTCTATAACAATAATTTATCAATTTTTATTTAAAATATAATTGCTTCATTTTTTTAAAAAATGTAGTTTTTTTTTTTTTTTTAAATAATTCCCTGTGGATAGGCGTTAATAATACTTCCACGGCCCCTCTGCCAGTCGTAAGAGGCGACTAATGAGGTTGCATCAGGTCGACAGCCGTCGTAAAAATTACTGTCCAAAAAGTATGAGGAATTCTGAATAAAACTTAGGTGGATTGTCCCATCTCGGGTGTACGCGGGGACATTAGAAAGTAGTTAAATTGGATAAGGCTTAAGGAATAAAGTGTTTAATACCAGCCGGACAATTTGTGCGGTAACTGTTTCACCAGTCATGTGTACAGGTCTACCTAACGCTTGTGGTGTCAACGGTGTAAGAACATCACCACTTAACTGTAGGCTGGACTCGTATATAAGGGAGAAAGATAGATACAAAGTAAGAATACGTACTTGGAATGTTGGAACATTGGTAGAAATAGAGAATTAGTAGAAGTATTGAAGAGGAGAAAAGTTAAAATTTGTTGTGTGCAGCAAACTAAGTGGAAAAAAGAGAAATCAAGGGAAATAGGTGAGGGTTATAAAATAATATACTCACGGAAGTATAGTACAAATAATGATGTAGGGATAATAATGGATGAGGAAATGAAAAGTAAAGTAGTAGAAGTAGCTAGGAAAAGTGACAGGATTATGATTGTGAAATGGATATTCGAGGACAAAGTGCTGAATGTAATAAGTGCTAATGCACCACAAGTAGGGTGTGATGAAATAGACAAGGAAGTGTTTTGGAGAGAGATGGATGAGGTGATTCAAGGGGTACTTGGCAATGAAGATGCGGTGATAGGTGGAGATATGAATGGACATGTAGGTAATGAGAGGAGAGGATATGAAAGAGTACATGGAGGAGGGTATTGTTTTAGGGGGAAGAATGAGGCTGGAGAAAGAATCCTGGATTTCGCAGTATCGTATGATCTTGCTGTAGTTAATACTTATTTTAGAAAGAGGAAAGAACATTATATAACTTATAAGAGTGGGGGGGATAGATCACAGATTGATTATTTTATGTGGAAGAGAGAGAGTGTAAAGCGAGTAAAGGATTGTAAAGTTATACCAGGCGAAAGTGTAACTACACAGCATAGACTGATGGTAATGGATTTTTGGTGTACCGGTAAAAGAATATACATAAATAGAAGGAACACGGCAGAAAAATTGAAAATCCGTTGGTGGAAATTGAAAAAAAGTTTGTCAAGACGGTAAAAGAGAGGACAGTGTGGAATGTCGAAGGAGACATAAATGAAGTGTGGAATAGATTTGATAGTTGTATTAAGAATATTGCAAAAGAGATTGTTGGTGAGAGTAGGAGTAGAATGTCAGGAAATAAGGAAACCTGGCGGTGGGATGAGGACGTTCAAAAAATCATAGAAAGTAAGAAAAAGCAATTCAAAGTATGGCAGAAGAGCAAAAGGAGAGAAGAATGGATGGAGTATAAAAGCTTATGCAAAAAACCCAAGTGTGCAGTAAGTAAGGCGAAGTTTAAGAGGTATGATAGGCTAGGAACAAATGAAGCGAGAAAGAAATCTATAGACTTGCAATAGTAAGGGAGAAATGGTCTAAAGATTATTATTATATAAGGTGTATAAAAAGTGCTGATAATAGGGTACTCTCGAGTGATGATGTAAAAAAAAAGGTGGAAAGGTATTTTGAAAAATTACTGAATGAGTAGTATCCAAAAGAGACGTTAGAGGATATCTCGTGGAATAAGGGACTGGTAGATTTAATTATTGAGAAAGAGGTATCGGAGGCTGTGACATCAATGAAAAATAATGAAGCACTGGGACCAGATGAAGTGCCAGTGGAAGTATGGAAAATATTAAGCGGTGTTGGCATAAGGTGGTTGAAGGAAATTTTAAATAAAATCTTATTAGAAGTGAAAATTCCATATGAATGGAGGAATAGTATTGTGGTGCCAATATTTAAAGGTAAAGGTGACATACAGGAGTGTGGAAAGTTTAGAGGTATAAAGCTTATGAGTCATGGTATGAAAATTTGGGAAAAGGTAATAGATAAGAGAATAAGAAATGGAGACATTGGTATCTAAAAACCAGTTTGGATTTATGCCTGGTAAGTCAACAATGGAGCCATTATTTTGTGTAAGGCAACTAATAGAAAAGTTTGGGGGAAAAAAAGCTTTGTATGGTATTAATAGATTTGGAGAAAGCTTATGATAGAGTACCGAGAGAGGTTCTAAAGTGGGCATTAATGAGAAAAGGAGTTCCGACAAGTTACATTAATATAATAGAGGATATGTATGATGGCACTTGTACCAGCGTAAAAAGCGTAGAACAGAAGGTTTTCGGGTAAGAGTAGGAGTGCACCAAGGTTCTGCTTTAAGCTCTTACTTATTATCTATAGTGATAGATGAAATTACTAGAGAAATACAAGGAGAGGTGCTGTGGTGCATGTTATTTGTTGACAATATAGTGTTAATAGGAGGAAATTAATCAAATGCTAGAGGTATGGAGATCAGCTCTTGAAGAAAAGGGTTTAAGAATAAGTAGGGGTAAGACAGGTTATATAGAGAACGAGTTTGTTAAAGGAGAACACGAGGTAGATAAAATAAGGAGACCAGTGACAATAGGCGAGGACGTGATTGGAGAGGTGAAAAGTTTTAAGTATTTAGGATCAGTTGTGCAAAAGAGCGGTGGTATTGACGAGGATGTAAGACACATGTTTAAGTGCGGGTGGTTGAAGTGGAGAGAAGCGTCTGGCGTCTTATGCGATAAAAGAATTCCAATGAGACGTAAAGGTAAATTCTACACGACTGTAGTGAGACCAGCTATGATGTATGGTTCAGTGTTGGGCGGTTTATAAAAAAGTAGAGCAGAGAATGAGTGTAGCAGAGATGAGAATGTATAGATGGATGAGTGGAGTGACTAGAGAAGATAGGATAAGAAACGAACATATAAGAGGGAGTATAGGTGTAGCGTCAATTGTGGATAAGATAAGAGAAAATAGACTTAGATGGTTTGGTCATGTTATGAGGAGAGAACAATCGGAAGCCGTAAGAACAGTTGTAGAAATGAATGTTGAAGGAAGAAGAGGTAGAGGAGGGCTAAAAAAGAGATAGAGAGATGTTATTGAATGTGATATGAGGATAGCTGATGTGAGCGTAGAGGATGTGGGAGATCGTGTCAACTTCCGCTTGACACGATCTCCAAGTTGGCCGACCCCAAGTAGTTGGGATTAAGGCGAGGAAGAAGAAAAAGAAAAGTTTTTAAATTAGTCTTTTAATAATTTAAACAAAATATTTATTAAAAAAAAAGTTGAATAAATCTCATGATATATCAATGATAAAACGTGTGGATTAATCATGTACCTAAGAAACCTGAATTGTTTTAAAAACAATGCTTTAATTTTTCTAGTGGTGCAGCATCAAATAATGAACCAGCTATCAACTACAATATATGCAAAAGTATAGTTGAAGGTGTAGTAAAATCTATATACACAGATAAACCTAAAGATTTACTTAATCAGAAAATTATAGCATTTTCATATTTTTATGATAGAGCTCAAGATGCTGGGCTTGTTGGTAAGATAAATTTTTATTCATAACCTTTTTAACACGCATATATTAGTTTCACCTGTATGTATGTGTTTATGTATGATGTTAATATTTACGTATGTTTGTAACTCTCCGCGCGGCACGTGTTGTTATCTCGCGTATCCCGTCGTCTATGGCCTCGAGACTAGACTGTCGTAACGCATTCACCTCACCCCGCTCACCCCACGATGACAAACACTATTCCTGTATAATTTTATTTTTGGTTTTCGTACCCGTACATGCATGCGTATCATCAATATTACGTATATATAAATATAAAAATATTTTTATTGTTTATTATTAGATATAAACATTTAAAGATTCAAATTTTTTTGAGTTAATATACGTGTATAAATACATAAGGGATTACAAGTACAGATAGCTAATTGGTTTTTTATGACGATATTAGCAAGCATATAGCCTTTATTATCAATGGTAATAAGAAACATTGTTGTGAATTTATAAACACACTAACTGGTAATACACAGAAATTATTTCTATTGATAGTGATAATTGACAATAAACACTCCGTGACTGTAACAGCGATGTCATAAAAAACTATAAAGTAAAAAATAAATATAGTGTTGCTCATAATATACACAATTACTTCACTCTTACATGATCAACTTCAACAATACATGAAAAAAGTATCTAGTTGAAGCTCTCAGCTCCAAAATATTGAAAAATTCCTGTCAATCCCCTTAATCAAAGTAACTGCTCCAAAAAAATATAGTTGTTACAAAATAGTCAATGTTTATATTTTTAGTCTTCACTTCATATTCAAATGAATTTTTGAAAACTGGACGAATTATTGTGAAATTTTTATTGATAATACTTTATTTTCTTGATAATAGCATGGTTATTTTGAAAATAATTAACCAAGGTTCTGTAGATGCTTAATCATCAACATTTTTTTTATTATGTTCTAAAAATTCTACCTTTGTTAAACAAGGACCTTCAATATCATACCAAAATTTTTTCTATCCTACACCAAGTTAAAGCTAATACAATGCATTTTAAGATGAAAAACTATATGAAATTTCAATTTCTAATCAAAAATTCATTTACTTTTTTGTAAAACTTGACTTTTTTTCAGTTTTTTGCATAGTAATGGGATATTTACTTACTAATACATCATAGAAAATTAATTATTAGGCTAATATATATGTATATATATATATATATATTTGAGAAATGACAATATATATGCTAATACATAAAATTTTAAATTTTAATTATTATTTTTCTATAAAATAAAAATGATTATTATTAATAATTATAAATAATGTTTATTTTTTAGGTGAGAAAGGAGGTGAAGTCTCAGTAAATTTGTTTTATGATGCAGCATATAAAGGTAAAATTATTATTATACATTAAAATGGATCCAAAAAGATCTATCAAAAATTTAATGAGAACCCTTTTAACTTTATTATATACATTAAAATATACATTTTATAAAAATTTGAGATTAAAAAAAAGATTTGTTCTATGATAAAAGTTAAATATATATTAGTTATATTTGACCGAAAATTGAAAAACATTGGAGTTTTTTGTTTTTGGCCAAAACACTTATTTTACGCCAAAACACTTAAATACCGTTGAGTTACTAGTAAAACTTTGTTTAAAAATCTCAATATTTCATGTCTATTTTAATGTATATTATGTTATTTTTTATAATAAAGTGAAAAGAATTTTCATTAATATTTTGATAGTCAAATTTTTTTGATCCACTCTTTTATTCACATATATATTTATAACATCATTATTTATAAAATTAATAATAATTCATTCTGGATTTAGAGTGTACAAAAACAAGCTACAATGAATATCGCCCTTTTAAGTGTTTGGACTTAATATACATTTCTGTATTATTAGAACAAGGTTTTGGATTACCTGTTGATACTTCTGTAACTGTAAGTTATTACTTTAACTTTAAAAAATATATATGAAGGGTACAGGTAAAAATTAAGTTATAAATTTCTACACCGTAAATTATAAAACAAAAATAGACTCCTCTTTAATATTATCAAAATAAAAAAATATTCACTAAATGAATTTTATAAAATTAATATCCAAAAAGATGGATTACCATTTTTTCCCTTTACCCTTCATATATACATATATATATATATATATATATGAATTTCCTTTATATTCTCATTGAAAACACCCAAAATACCTTGATTAATTTTTTTTTAATTATTCATAAAGATTTCAAATTATTTAAATTATATTAATTTAATTTTTTTAATTCTAGCTGCTAAATACTATTGATGGTCACGAAATAAGCTGGGCTCTTGGTGCTGCTTACCATATTTTACAAAATGGTTTGTAAAATTTTTGAACATTTAAAATTTATTGAACTTTGGCGATCAAATACTTTATTATGCATATTGATTCAAATATATTATTTTTTATTTTTATTTCTAATAATAAATATTTTGGTGATAATTTATCATGAAAGAATTAAATTTTTTATGGCTTTGTATTTTTGTCATTAATTTTCCAAGAAAAATGTATAATTAAGTATCCACTTGACTAGGATTACTAAAATACTACTATATACTAATTGTTCAAATAAAATTTACTAGTATTTTTTTTTATTAAAACGAGATAGTTGTTCCATAATTGAAGAATATTTATTTGTTAAATTAAAATGAATCTAGACTTAACACCACGAATATTTATGAAAAGAAGGTAATTAGTTTCAGCTAAAAGCCTACATCAAATTACTGATTAGACATGTAAAAATATTAAAGTTTTGTTCTAGTTATTTTTTTTTTTTTTATAGTTTAATTTTTGTCATTATTTTGGCTATGGTCAAAAATAATTTTTATACATAATTATACTTTGAATATATTTTAGCCTTTACTACATATTTATTTACATTGAAATTATTCTTGAATACCATAAAAATACATGTAAAAATAAGAAAATTATAAAATATTTTTGTTGAGTTGTAATTTTTTTGTTATGAATAAAAAATATTAATATTATTGTTGTTTTTTTTTAATTAGACTAATATTAATAAAAATAAATAAATGGTAGTAATTATAGGATTCAAATGCTGAGATTTATTTTGTTATTTGATTGATAACAATCAAATGAACAAAAAAATAATGTAGTATTAAATATAAATTTTATCACTGAACTTTTTATTTTATTCAAAAATAATCATCTTGAACTAGATCTGGAGGTAATGGCATACCTCTTCGTTTCAAAGAACGTTCCATTAATTTAGCTTTTTCAGCTTTAGCATCTTGTTCTTGTTTTTGTAATGCCAAAATCTCTCCAATTGACACTTTTTCAAATATTTGATCAGCTTCCTTTAGAGAGTCCTAAATATAAAATAAAAAAAACATTTCATTGTTACTGGGATTAATTCTAGTTCTTATACAAAAAATTCATTTTTAAGTTCATTTCTGACAAAAATAATTATTTTTATTTGTGATTTCAACTCAGAAAGTTTTTTGGTTTTTTGGTTTTTAGAGTATTTTTGATGTTTTTTAATTCTAATAAATATTAAACATACTTTTTATTCTTTTACTAAACATAATTTATAAATAATTGTGTAATCGTATTGATCTTTGATAAAATATATTTTGTATGAATTTTGAAAGTAATATTTTAATATTTAAACCATGAGATTACATTAAAAAATTATAACACGCAAGACAATAATTTTAAAAACCGTAAACTGCTCTTCTAAAAATAGGAAAAATACATTTCATAAATTCTTGTACATTGTCATCATTATTTAATTTTAGAATAATAAAATGTATGAAGTCTTACTATTTCACCAAGAAGGACTACATTTTCTCCTCTTACTAAAAATACCCCTCTGGGTATATCACCATATTTTTTTCCAACATGAATACGCTCAATAGTTCGTTGAAGTAATAAATTGGCATATTGATCAACACTTCGAAGGTACCCAATTAAAGTTCTACCATCACGCAAAAGAACCATTAATTTTTCTAAAAAGTATGAGAATTTAAATTAGCATGCTTTAAATTGGATAAATTAAGTTATGAATGAATGAGGAAAACAAAATATTATTAAAAAGGTTAAGTTTTTATTTTATAATTGAAGTAATTAATTTGTTTATACTAACTGTCCAGTTCATACAATAAAGTTGCGGTCCGAGGAGGAAATGAATTCATACTAAATGTTTAACTTAGAATTCCTTAGTGTAAAAATTACCATTAAAATAGTTAACAAACTTCTAAGACATTATAAAAGTTAGCTAAATTGTTAAAAAATAAATAAAAATGTTTAACAACAATATTTGTTTTCATTAATATCTAAAAATTTCAATTAATTTTTATCATTATCTTAATATTTTAGTACATTAATGCATGGTAGTTAATTTAAAAAAAAATTCCTTAACAATATTAATTTGATAATACTTTTTAAATAATAGCAGTGGGGAAGACTTAAGTTTGGAACGAATAAATTACAATGATGGTGGGAATCGTCAATTATAGTTATCATTGATAACAATAAAACTGAATTACTTATCAATTTAATCATAATTTCAAATTAATACTAATTCCTAATAAATGTGGTTTGGTACATATTTTTATAACGATTTGTAATACCGAAATGGAAGATACTATTTATGGACCAAAATCTGATAGTTCCGAATTGTCTGATGAAGCAGAGTCTTCTAACTATGTGATGTATCGACATCGTCCTGAATGGAAAGATGTACAACCAGTTCCTCAAGATGATGGTCCTAGTCAAGTAGTCAAAATAGCTTACTCTGATAAGTGTATGTATTTATAGCAATTGTTCATAATTATGCTACCAAATCATTTTATTCTATTGTTTTATTATTATTAAATTTAAGTAGTACCTTTTTTACACAAACATTTTTCTTAGCTATTCATTTAAACATAAATAAAACAAAAAACATGTTTTAGTTTTTATCTAATTAAATTCATTATCATACTAGATTATAATAGCAAATTTCATTTATATATTGCAGGCAAACAAATTATTTCCATGGTACTACCTTAACATTTTTATTCTGTAGTACAGAAAATTTTATTAAGTTAATTATAATATTAAACTTTCTTCAAATTTATAGTAATATAATTAAATTTTTTTTTTAGTTGTAGATGTGTTTGACTATTTTAGAGCTATTCTTCAATCAGGAGAAAAATCTGAAAGATCTCTTGAATTAGTTACTGATGCTATAAGTTTGAACCCAGCCAATTATACAGTATGGATATATAGGTTAGTTTTTAGTTTTATATGTTTTTCTCATAATATTTCAATTCATAATTTATATTATAAAATCCCCTATTTATAAATTTGCTTATGTAATACAGAGCATGTTTTAAGAAGTCCTATTACTATGAATTTAATGACAATCTTCACTTCTTTGAAAATAATTTTTAATAATTATTGTATTTTTACATCATAACCAAATGGATATAATTCAACATTTTATTTCATATTATAGAAAAATATGTTTTTTAATAGTTATATGTAGGTCATGCATTTTTATGCATTTATAAATTTTGTTAAGTATTTCAAACACACCTATAGCTAGAACAAATTTTTATTTATTGACTTTAGAACTTAATAAAAAGTTGCTATCAAGATTATAGTATTTGGGGGGTCTATCCCCTTAAAACGGAAATATTTCTATTTTACTATATAATTCTAAGACAAAGTAGTACAAATTTGTAACCCATTGAAGTGAATTAAAAAAAATTTTTTTTTTATTCAAGTTAATTTCTTATTTCATAAAAAAAATGTTCTATTATATTGTTTTTAAAAATAATTTTTTTGAAACATAATGTAATTTTTATACTAAATTTTTTAATATATATGAATAAAAAATATTTTTTAACAATTTAGTATTAAAATATATTTTTAAAGTTTTTAAAACAAATAATTTCATTTGTTTGTGTTGTCTATAATATTTATTATTATTTATTAGACTTGAAATTGTTTTACACTTAGAAATAGACTTATATAAGGAATTAGAGTACATATCAAATGTAATTCGGGAATTCACCAAAAATTATCAAGTATGGTAAGCTTGTCAAACTTAAATCAATAACAAAATACTTTTTACTGACATTAATCATTCTTCTACAATTTATTTTGTAGGCAATATAGAAAAAATATAGTTGAAATGTTGAATGATCCATCTGATGAACTGAAATTTACAGCTAGTATTTTAGATATGGATGCTAAAAATTACCATGCATGGCAATATAGACAATGGGTTCTTACTACATATAGGTAAAATTTATATACAGAATCATCTGAAATTAATGATTTTTCCAAGAATGTGAAATAATATTGATGAATTTTTTTAAATGTTTTTTAGATACATGTTTTTCTTAATTTATTAATAATGAAGTATTTTTTATGTTCATTTCTGATATTTTATAAAGATGTTAACTTTACTTTTTCAAATGGCAACATACATAATTAATTAATTATTTATTAGATAATGATTTATTAAAAAAATGACTGGTCAATAACAACTATTAGACCAGTATTTTAGTAGTAAATAACATTTTTATACCTAGGTAGTAGGAGTGAGTCTGAAAAATATCTAATGATAAAAATAGCATTACTTGCATATCACTTATTGTGAAATTTAAATTTGAAAATTTAAAATGTTCAATTCTAAAATACTTAATTTAAAAATTGTTATCAACTAAATCTTCTTATTATCTTAAGATAGTAACTTTTATTTATAGATTTGTTATTTCAACTTTTTTTTAGTAATCTGATGGAAAATGAATTGGATTTTGTAGAAACATTGTTATCGCAAGATATGAGAAATAACTCTGCTTGGAACCAGCGTTATTTTGTTATTTATAATACTGATCCATCTAATGAAACTATTGATAAAGAACTTCACTATACATTTGATAGGATAAAAATATTGTCAAAAAATGAAAGTGCTTGGAATTATTTAAGAGGGTAATTAAAATGAAGAAATTATCATTACAGTAATAAATTTCTTTTGTTTTTATTGAACACAGATTATTATTATATTCAGAAAATGGAAATTTGGAAGTAAAAGTACGAAATTTTTGTAATGAATTATATGACAAGGGTAATAGATCTCCTCATTTGTTATCATGTATGATTGATTTACTTGATGCTGATGAAAACTTAAAAGAATCTAATGATACCGAAAAAATTAAATTTGTTTTAAAAGTAAAAAACTAATAAAAACCTTATATCAATTTTTTGACTTATAATAAATTATATTGTTATTTTAGTTATGTTTTGAGTTAGCTACAATTTATGATCCAATGAGGCGGTTTTATTGGGCATATGTTTCAAATGATATTGAGAACAAATATAGTATAAGTAATCATGAAACTAAAATTAATGTTTATTAAAATAAAATTATTTTTTTAATTAAAATGATAATTTCTAGTAATATTTTCTATTTTTATTTTTATATATTGACTGTAAGCTAATTGGGATAAATAACATTTTACCAAAAATATTCGGTTAAATAAAATATCTATAAGTTACATTAATTATTTTATGAAAAAAATGTCACATACACCAATTAGCCTACAAAAAGTCAATATGTTAATAATTTATTGTTTTTACTAACTCATTAAATTAAATATTATTTTTAATGTACAGGAATAAAACTTTTGTATCTTATTATTATTAATTTGTAATTTGATTTCTAACAAAAAGTAATACTTAAAATTATGAACAACATATTCAAAGTAATAAAAAATGACATTGTTTTTCAATAAGAGAAGAATGTTTTTAGTTGTCTGTTGTTATCAATATACTTCTAAGCATTTCAGTACAGTAAGATTTCTTTAGAAGTATTTAACTTATTAAGAAGATTAAATAAAAAGTATCCTAAATCTTAATAAAAAGTTATTTAAATGTCTAATAGTTAATAATAACCAGAATTTGGAACATTATGCATTTATAAAATTTGTTTGAACCACTTCTAAAATACTTGACTCTGAAAAAATATCATAAGTGTATATAGTATCACATTATTATCTTTTGTTCTAGAGAGGAGGTGATACCCTTAAGTCCCTTAAATTTCTAATTAATATACACTTTTTAGTGTCATCTGTGGTTAACATTTATTTATTTACTCCAAGTAGCTAAAATAAACTTTATAAATGCTTAGTCATGAGTCCTGATAATAACTAATGCATAATGTATTTAATTTGTGTGTAGAAATTAATATATCAATAAGTGGACTAATTACTTTATATTGTTCAATAATTCATCTATGTATAAGAAATATTTATAATGTTGGAAATAAGTGAAAGTAAAAATTATTGAATAATAAAACTCAAGTTTAAATTGATGAATTTATTACAAATAAATGTGTTTATTGTTTTATAAAAATAATACCTTAAAAACTTATTTACTGAATTTAAAATATTTTAAATATGATAAAAATTGACTTGCTCCTTTTATTAATAATGAAATAACAAACTATATATTTATTATGTTAAATATGAATTACAATAGTAATCTTTAATATAATATTATAATACTAAAGTAAATTATTTAGGAAATAGTTACTAAAAATACAACATTGATCAGAAATTTTAAAAATTGTGTTGCATGATCATATTAAATATGAACCATGATAAAAGTTTCTAATCCTATGAAATGTCATCTGAAATAGAGTACCACATTAAATTCTAATTTAAAACTGTTTTAATTCTTAATATTTGTAATGTTATAAGGTATATACAAACTTCTATAGCAGAATCTATTTTTTATTAATGTTAATGCTGTCTTAATTTTTATTTTTTAATGTGAAGCTTAAGCAGTCACACAATAAAACATTTATAGAATAATTTGGATGGGTTGTCTAATCATTCAGGTTATTTTTCTTTTTTCTATAATCATTCCATTTTAATTTTTCAATCAAGCTTATGTGTCATATATAATTGTTTCATGAATATAGAATGTCCAAAGAATAGTCATGTAACATTTTAAGATTGATTTATGAATATTCCAGATAATTATATGATTATTCTTTAACTTTCTTCTTAATTAATTCAACCAACTTAAGAAGTTAGAGTATTACTAGAATCCGAATAAAAATATATTTTATAATTATTGTTATAACTAATTTCTATGATTGTTTATAAATGAATGAAAAAAAAAACACATTTCGATTTATTTGCTTTTCAGCACTTCACAGGCTTATTGTCATTACCAGAATTATATACATCAAATAGTAATAGTATATTAATTTTATGTACTGAGTAAATAAGCAAGTTGCATAGGGCTAATTAAAACACTATTAAATTATTTGAAGTGTGAGGTTACTTTGTCGAGTAATCGTAGCTACATTTATTTTTAACATAGAAATATAACGCGCATGCGCTAATTAGATTAAACAGACTATGTCTAACACCTATTCTCGCATACTTACATGCATTGCGTTCCATTTTGTTTACATTCCTTCGTTACTCGTAGTCAATTTGTACCATATTTATGATATTCAAATATTTTTATTATGTATTTTTTAACAATATTAGTATTTTTTTGTAAATTTTAAAGTTAACTCTCAATTCTTATTTTTAGAAATACCTATACTATCAGCTATCCAATCTTAATGTAAGAGTTTTTTGATTGTTGAAGTAATTTTGTTTATAATTTACGGTTGAAGTACTATCAGACTACACCCATTATTGTGTTTAATTTTATTCAATCATCCTTAGTTCTCGTCGTATTTCCTCTTCTTCTGATACAGTTATAATTAATTAGCAAAAATCTTTATTTTAAAAGTATATTCAACGTCATAGTCATAATTCTTAAGATCTTTGAGATATTTATAATAACAATAATCATAAATACTAAATTTAAATAAAAACTTTTAATATTTAAAAATAATATTTACTGTAATGTTAAGTATAGTATATACTAAAAATAAAGAAATAGTGATTTTAATATTTTTTTAGATGTTTTCAAGAAAAAAGAAAAAACCTCAAATTTCTTCTCCAACTAACTTTGAACATAGAGTTCATACTGGATTTGATAAACAAGAAGGCAAATTTGTAGGTTTACCTTTACAGTGGGCTAGCATAGTAGGTAATAACCAGATCTTAAAAAGCACTAATAGACCATTACCACTTGTGGATCCATCTGAAATAACTCCAACAGAAATACTTGATTTAAAAGTAAACTTCATTATGTTCTTTTATATGTATTAGTAGTTTCAATATTTTTTAGTATATTAACTTTACTGATTAGATAATGTTAGATTATTTGTTTATATTTAATATATCTAAAACTAGTATATTAATTTGTTATTATTTTAGACTATTGTAAGAGGAGAAAATAACCCTAAATTCCATACTTCAGTGAATAATCGAAATAATAATGAATCAGCGGGTCTTCCAAAGACATCCAATGTTGCCCGTTCAAATTCTTTGCGCTCATCAAGTCCACCACGTATTCGACGTCAACATCCAAATGTTCCACCGCCATTACCTGAAAATGAAGTTCTTGTAATGAATCAAAGTTTAGTGTCTCAACACTTACCTCAATATCCTCCACCTAATCATATGCAAACAAATTATAATAACAAATATGTAAGTCTTATAACTTTAAATTTACTATAACAAATATTTTCATTACATTTTTTAAATTAAAATACTAATAAAACTAAGCTTCATTAATTATTGAAATTTAAATATAAATATTATTAATTGAGTTATGTTAATGTATCTTCATTACTAATATTATAGAAATTTCTATGTACATACAATTTGGTATGTACATAACACTAATAAATTTTTTTTTCTTAAATTAATTTAAGCAATAAAACTTTTTTACCACTTAACTTTGAAATATTTTTTAGATAAAACCTGGAGGTTCAGATTGGTCTGGACAAGAGACCCCTATTTCAAGGATGAGCCAGTCTAATACACCTGTTAGTCAGATGATAACTCCAGATCAGATGAGTACACATTCATTATCTTTACAAAATGGAAATATTTCCTCAATGTTTACTAATGGTTCTGTGGTCGATTCTGCTATTGGAAATCAAACTTCACAAGCTAATACCCCAGTACTTCCAAACCGTGCTCACCCAATTATTAATAATGCTCAAATAGTTAGCACAAACAAAGTAAAAATAATAAATTTTCAGTTTTGCATTTCAAAAATAATTAATTTGAATTTTTTAAAAATAAAAATTTAGGGTATTGCTCAAAATTTATTAAAAAATCAGGACCAAAACCAAAATTTAAAACCTACTACTAATGGGTTATCGTCAACTAGTAACACATCAATTCCTAGTATTGCTACTAAACAACACCATGAACAGCAACGTATCACACATGAACAAGTAAATACTTATATTATTTGTAAAATAACTACTTACTAGCTCTTTGAGCCATAATGAAGTTGCATCAGGTTGACAGCGGTGTAAAAAAATCATATAAAGTAGAGTTGATCTTAAATAGTTAGGATAGAGGCTAAAAATATAATGACCAATGATTTTATAAAATAATTGCTAATAATTAATAATTAATAATAACTTAACAATTTTATTCAAACTAATATAGTTCAGAGCAGCTCTACAACTCGTAGTTAGTCCTGGAGATCCTCGGGAAAATTTGGATAGTTTCAAAAAAATTGGTGAAGGTTCCACTGGTACAGTTTGTATAGCCACTGATAGAATTACTGGTCGCAAGGTAGCTGTAAAAAAAATGGATTTAAGAAAGCAACAACGGAGAGAACTTTTATTCAATGAAGTTGTAATAATGAGAGACTATCATCATGCTAATATTGTTGATATGTATGATAGTTTTTTGGTGGGTGATGAGTTGTGGGTCGTTATGGAATATTTGGAAGGTGGTGCACTTACTGATATGGTTACTCATACAAGAATGGATGAAGAACAGATTGCCACTGTCTGTAAACAATGTCTCAAAGCTCTAGCATACTTACATTCACAAGGAGTAATACATAGAGACATTAAGAGTGATTCTATACTTCTAACAACTGATGGACGAGTAATTTAATTTAAATAGTTTTGTATAATAAATAATTATTTAAAATTTTTAATACTCTTTTTTTAATAGGTGAAAATTTCTGATTTTGGTTTTTGTGCACAAGTTTCTCAAGAACTACCCAAGAGAAAATCTTTAGTTGGGACTCCATATTGGATGTCTCCAGAAGTAATTTCACGTTTACCTTATGGACCTGAAGTAGATATATGGTCATTAGGTATATAAATTAATTTTATTGTGAATAATATACTAATAATAGTATAATAATATATTTAAATAAAAACTTTTGTTACTTACCTTAGGTATAATGGTAATTGAAATGGTTGATGGAGAACCACCTTTTTTCAATGAGCCACCTTTACAAGCAATGCGAAGAATTCGTGATATGCCGCCACCAAAGTTGAAAAATTCTAATAAAGTAATAATAAATAATAAAACTTTATTAAAAAGAAGTTTAAAAATTTACCATGTTCAATGTTCCCAAAATAAAAAGTATTTAAATTTTAAATTATTTTATAGATTTCACCAAGACTTCAAGGCTTTTTAGAAAGATTATTAGTTCGAGATCCAGCTCAAAGAGCAACTGCTGCTGAACTTCTGCAACATCCATTTTTAAGGTTAGCTGGACCACCATCTCTTTTAGTGCCATTAATTCGAGGGTCACGGCATAGTAATTGTTAAAAGATAAACATTATCTTGTTCATTTGTGCAATTTCTGTTATTTAATTTTTTTGTAAAATGTAAATTAATAATTATTATTGACAATGTAAAATTAATTCCAAAAAGTTGCATATTTTTAATATGTAAAAGTTATCATCATTGTTTTATAATTTTATAACCAAAAAATTATTTTTAACATCGAAATTTAATGGTCACAACTTTTTACTAGCTCAATGTACAATCATCTAAGTATTAAGTAGAATGTAGTGCCTTATATTTTAAAAATAATGTTAAGTTAATCATAAAAAGAAAAATGCTCTCTTTTGTTATTTATTATTATTTAATATGTATTATTAAATACAAATAAAAACCAAAGATGAAGACCCGGTAGATTTTTATTTAAAAAAAATTGAATTAGGTGCCTTATTTGTAACAAGTAGTGATTCTTACTTATCAAGGTATACAATTGTGTATTTTATAATTAAATTAAAATAATTGTTATTTTTTACATTATGTATAAAACTGTGTTAACCAAGGCTGGCTGATAATAATTTATTATGAACAAAGTATTGAGACTTGGTAAAATTTTTAACAATTGTTATAATATTATTAACTATAACAACTTATTAATGTTGTGTTCTGCTCTTCATTCCTATTAATACAGACCATTTATGAAAACAATTTTTAATACTATGGTTACTATTTTTTTTTGTATTTTTGAAATAAGTATTATTATTTGTAACTATTATTTCAAACTATTAATAATTTGAATTCAAAATTGTTGAATATTTATTTTAGTTGATGTTCTTAATAAAGATATTAAGAAAACACTAACACATTCCACTTTTTGCTATAAAAATATATTATTTATTGTTATATTAATTTGTCATAAATTAAATGTAATATATCAGAATCAGTATTAAATTATTTTACAGTTGAATAATTTTAAGTCTTCTAGTCACAACTAACCCATCATTAGCATCAATTATTTATACGTGAATTTTACTAGCTGTTTAGTAATATTATTTTTAATTTTAAGCATATTGTTAGGTACTTTTTCAATAGTATTATGCAATAAATTTATTCAAAAGGATTGTATTATTATTTTAATTTTAAAATTAGTTTTTATGGTTAAAATAGAATATTTTTAAAAATTTTCTATTTAAACTTAAATAATTGTTGTCATTTTATCATAAAAATTACTATTACAATTTCTTAAATAGACTAAATCATCACAACTATTATTATTTTTATAATCATGATTTTTAAATTTATAACATTTAGGTATATGTGTTTTTTTTCACAAAAACTAGTAGAATGTTTTAAAAATTGTCTTAATACTTTAAAGTTTTAAGCAAACTTTTTTTTTATGACATATCTCATGTACTTAATATATATCATATAATAAATTTTTAATTAACTACAAAATTATACTTGAGAGTCAATCGAATCTGTTTTTGCAGAAAATACTTACAATTTTTATTATTCTTAAATTTCGTATTTTAGTTTTAAACAACTAATATTTATTATTATTATTATTTTTTTTTTTTTATGTTATTATTTATTAGTACAATTGGAAGTTACTTCATTTAATTGTAAAAATTATAATTCTACTTAATTTAATGTTTAATAAAATATTTTTTTTGTACCTTGTTATTGGTCAATTATTAAAAATGCATAATAAAAAATATGATTTTAACGTAGTCTAAAAATGAGTAAATTATTTTTAAAAAATTTCATTCAAATGTTAATTGTATTCTAAGTTATGTTATGTAAAGTTATCAGTTAGATCTCTTCCACTAGGTTAATATATGACCTTATAAGAAAAAAGGATTCTATTGTTATTGTTTGTAACAATTGACCTGTTTTCTTACATTTTGAACATTCTTTATATCAATACCTTAGTGGCAATTGCTCGTTACTACAATTTTTGTGAGAATGACTATCTGGTATAAAAATTATCGTAATTTCTTTGCAGTTAATTTTGTTAATAAGCATTATTATGATAAAACGTTTATTAATAAGTGTTATAATGCATAAAAATTTTAATTATTAATACAATGTTTACTTATTATTTTTAATAGTAAGACAATAAATATATTTTTTAATTAAAACGGCACAATTTAAATGAATTTGTAATAATAATAATAGATTTTTGTCCCTACTGAAAAGTGTCACAAATATAGTTACCATATATATAACTAGTGTTAATTTTATTAAACTACACAACAGATACTGCCATGAAAATATTTACATACATATCACTCGTAGGTCTTATGGATAATTATTGCCCTAAATACACCAAAATTTAATATAAGGTGCATTTAGGTTGATATTTGGTAGATAGGAATAATTTAGCAAAGATGGTTAAGTCCCACCCCTTAATCTTTGTCAATAAGAATAATCAATTTGTTTATATATTTGAGTTTAAACAATTCCTATCATCTAGTGACTAACAATATCTATCTAGTGAAAAAAAAACCTTCAATTTTTTTATTTGGTAGCTACATGTTTATTGTGCATGCATTAAAATATACTATACGCATATGCATTATAATTACAAGTATAACCATGTATTAATTTATCTATTGATCATAGTTAAAACACGCTGTACTTTTAAAAGTATGTGTACTAAAGGAGAGCAATGTTGTAGCCACAGGGACTATATCTTTCATTAGTTGTTAAGTAATTGAATAGGTTCCAACCTAACTATACTGCTCCTCCATTTAAATTTCCTGACTATACAGCTGAAGGATAGTGTCATATATTTTTATAAAAGATAATAATTTTCAATTTTTTTATTTAATATAATTTGTTCAAATATGCAATATAACAACAAATATTCACATTACAAAATGATCATTTAAACAAGGAACATTATTATCTAACATTAAAATATACAATTTTATTGTTTTTTGAAAGACAGTATTTACAAAACAATATAAAAAATTTTTTAATAATACTTAAATAAACATTGCATAAAGTAAATTTACTATACATTTTGAGTATATAAAATTACATATTCACAAATGTTGCATTACAAAAATGATTTTATACACCAAAATGTGTATGGTTAATGAGGTAATATCTAACTTTGTTTCTTAAAGGAAGACTAATAATTATAATACTATATTTTTTTAAATTTTTAATTTCAAATAAATCAGTCATCATATAAATTTTCACACTTCTGCTCCTAAATCTAATACACCAGACTCGGCAATGGGCACGTATCGCTCGTCAATCTTAATTAATAAAATAGTTTTATCTACATGAGATCTTCTAGATAAGTCACGATGATTAGGAATCCATTGATGAACAACCTAAAAATATATCATACCAATAATTCATTAATTTTTATATATATAATTTAATGTTAGCCACTCAATTTCCCTTAAAATAATAGTTTTCTTTAAGAATTTTTTTTTGGCTTTTGTTAGTTACATATGTATCCATTTATCTGATAATAATTAATATCAAATATAAAATAATTTTATATTTGAAATTATTTATATATTATTTTTTTCATAGTAAAACCTCAGCTATACTTTAAAGCTGGCTCTCCTCCTATAACCTTATAATATTCCAACTTAAGTTTATTATATATGAACCTAATTATTAATTACTCACCAATCCTTCCATTCCTTTTTCAGGAAGCCAATCTTTCCAGTAACTTCGACCTCCTCTTATTCTCATTTTTTCATCTGGCCACACTACATCTATTCTTCGTCCTAAATTAATTGCATCATACACCTGTGATGGATCTAATATCTAGGAGGAGTATAAAGGTAAAGAATTTAATAAAAGAATTAACAAAAATAAATATTATTGATTACCAAAACTCTATGCTGAACAGGGGAGTTATCATTGTGAGGATTACTATCAACAGAAGCTTGTGGTGAACTAGTCACAGGTGATTGTGATGATGATAATAATCCTGCTAAATTTGCTAATCCAGCTGAATTTGGTTTTCCTGCTACATTTGCTGTACTTCCTCTAGTACCACCACTTCTACTACTGATACTACCACCCATTCCGCTTCCACTACCACTCATTTCTATAGATTGGCTTCCAGGAGTTCTAGTACCATAACCTGAGTGACGGTTAAACTGAGTCATAGCATAGACTCCATCATGACCAAAACCACCTTCATCGTGTGATTGTAAAGAACTACCACTTGAACATCCTTCTACACATCTACTTTTTAGTCTAAAATTAAAATATATTTTACTTAGATGAAAAAATATAAACCAAATAACTAGACTGTAAAAGTATTCTAGAAATAATTTAAATTGGAAGAGTCCAGTAGGATAAAGGTGTAACTGACATTTTTTACAAAAATGTATTTTATTGCATAAATGTAAATGTTTTAGTATAATAAAAATATTATATCAGTATGGAATAAGTTTTGTTTCATGATTACTGAAATGATAAATTGATAGAGAACTAATTTGAAAAATTTATCACTAATCTTAGTTGCAAAATAAATTTCTAAACAATTTTAAAAATACTAGTTGGCACCTTTATTCACTAACTCGTTAATTGTAAACTTATATGATTTATATGATCACCTTGTCCAAATTCTAATAATAGTTTTTTTAATTTCTCTTAGACTTATTGAACCTCCAACTAGTGATGACAATTGTTCATTAGTCTCTGCATAAGATGTTGTTAATGGTGACACAAAAATTGGATAACCAATAGGTTGATCACAGGATGAATTGATAATATTTCTCAATGCTTGTTTGGCATTTTGAATACTACCCCGTTCTGGGTTGCGATTTCTTAAATAAATTAATTCTTGTTGTTGGCCAGCCCAAAGACCACGAACACATTCTCGATTTATTTTTATGACACGAAAACTTAAAAATCGTTTATTCAACATTATCACTTTATATTCATCTGATCCTTCATCCATTATGTGCCTAATAAGTTAAAAGTTTAAATGCATTACAAATTTCTTATTATTATTAATTATTACCTCAGAGCCAGCAATGATGGCATTCCAGAAAGAACTGCATTTCTCCAAACTGGATCGCCTTCATGAGAAATAACTAAATGTCGTTGATGATAATTTATAGCATTGTACAAAGCTGCTGGATCTTCATATTCATCAGGAACCATGAAATGATTCTAAAACATTTAATCACAAACTTTATTATAAACAACATTAACTAATTTACCATGTTGTTTAAATATATACAGGTAAGTCATGAAAATACATTATATAACTAATATTTTTTTTCCTCTACCGGAATTTATTACGGGCTGCCCTGAAATTGTCGTTAGGCATTACATTAGGGTGACCCACGCTGCCACATTGTGCCTCAACTCAAAATTATTCAAAAGCTGAGTCACAACAAGACGTTGTTTCCCGTTATTCCACCCAGATCCAAAAGTAGTGTCAATGGCTAAACCGATTAAGATTTAGGTGCCGGCCGAAATTGGCGTCACAAGTCCTGAACCAGGTGGCGCGGCTGTCTCTGTCGTAAGCGCTTGGATGATTTTTTCAAACCCATAACTGATTCAGCTCCCTGAATTACAAATATACGAATTAATAATCGGCTCCCTACTATTAGGACCTATTGTAGACCCAAGACAGAATTTCAAAGCATCCTGATTCTGTGCCAACACTTTGTACCGAAAAAGTTTGCACAGCATTATCTGCCTCACTTGGGCAATTATTAATAGCAGCACGTCGGCGCAGCTAATTTGTGAATACCATCAAAATATTTGTTGAAACAGCCGTGGATGGAAATAACTTGTGTGAAATTATGTCATTTTATTGTGAGTCTGGTTCACCTGCTTGTCCAGTCAATCAGGTCCTATGAGGAACATTGTCCACACTATTTTAGACTCCTCCTGGAGTCGTATCCACCATGCCAGGGTTCAAATTTTTATATAGGTAGCCATAATTCAAAATTTAATACTTTAATAAATTTGAAAAAAAAATTGTCCACAACACTAATGATATTTTAAGGTATTTAAAAATAATATATATATATTTTTTTTTGAAAAATTCATATATTATTCTGCTTAAAGGTAAATTTGTTGAAAAAATATCTTTTAAACGTAAAAAATGTTTGTGTTTTTATACTTTTAATGTGTATGCATTAAACAACTAATATATACTATATTTTACTATGTTATTACTTTAATAATAAAAGTACCTGATGCAGTTTTAAAGACATGCGAATTGCGGGGGCTAACACTTTTTTCATTAAGTCCATATCTGCAAATATCCATTCATCTCTAGTAGAAGTTATGCGGAAGTCTCCTTTAAACAATGCATGTAGACCATAAAGAAAAAATTCAACACTATATAAATATATATATATAAAAAAATTGATTAAAAAAACAATTTCTAGTAATTAAGATATAAAACAATTAATAAATACCTAGACATAGTTGTATGAGAAGCTAAACCCAATGAACGTCTACCTAACAAACTTAATGCAAAACATAATGATACTAATATAGATTCTTTACCTTTATCAATAACAACTTTTCTTATCTATAAACATTAAAATTTAGTTAATAATATTGTTAAAAAAGACCCGAATTTTTAATTATTTCTTACATTTTCAGTTTGAAAAGCACAAAATCTTATCCATTCCAAGTAAAAAGAACAAAAACTATTACGAGTAATTCCACATGAAAGTAAATCATAATCTTCATCAATGTTTATATTAAAAACTGGATCAAGGTCTACAAAACTTTTGCTCAAAGTTGGTTTTAAACCTTCATTAATTTCTTCAGATGCCAACCAAAGTGGTAATTTTGGTGATCTTATAGCATAATATATGATACTCTAATCAAAATAAAAATGTAATGCTTAAACTAAATATATATGAGATATTTTAAATCTTTTACCTTAACATAATAGCTGACTAACACTTTTCGAAAATCAAATACTTGTAACATTGAAGAAGCGTTTATATCTGATATACTATATCCTTGTACAACATACTTAGCTGCAACAACTTGCCATGCAAGCCAACGTTGACCAAGAGCTGCATTTAATGATAATATATGGGGGAAATGTCCAGGCTCACAACAACAACATCCTATAATGTTAAATATTAGTAACATAAATCACAACTTGCAGCATTAAAATGTATTTTAAACATTTAAAAATATTGTTTTTAGTGGTTTGATATGCACCAAAAAGGTAAAAATATGTAAAAAAATAATATGAAAAAGAAATGACAATTTTTATTTTATAAACATTTTTTGCAATTTTACTTAATAAAAAACTACACTTTGATCATTAAAATTTAATATATAATTTAAAAAAAAAAACATGAAGAAAGTTAATTTAAGGTTTAAGGGCAATGGCCATGTCTCATATATTACAGTTTGTTTTTGATATCCAATCATATTTTTACTGCATCTTCTCGCATATTTATTATTTTTTACATTTTTGCTGAGGCTACCCAAATATATAGTAAAGAAAATTTAGTGACCTAAAAATATAAATTTTCATTTTTCTTAAAAATGTTGCCCTTTTGTGCTTATAAATTAAGTTAAATTTAAAACTTATATTTAATTTGAAATCAACAACTGTTTATTACATCATATTTTGGAAGGTGGATCATTTATAATTTTTGTTATTGTCTATTTGTTTTTTTTTTGTGCTAGAAAATGCACGAATGATTCTTTTTTAACACAATAGTGTCTACAACTCATTATTTCTACCACCGACTACTAGATAAGGCAAGCAGAGAGATTAAATACAATTAAATTCTAATTATTGGTTTTAATTTCTTCAAAAACTGACTGTTATTGGTTTAAATTAGCCATTAAATTGGTGTTAGCTCTTCATCATTTCTTTTTATTGACTACACACTAGAGTAGACAGTGTCCACTGAACATGTTTTTGTTTTTGTCTTTGATGTTATATACAACTTGTTGAAAGAGTAGAGCCGCCAATTGTGAATAGTCAGACTTTAAAGGTGAAACATTCAGAACATTCAGAACATTCATATGATTAGGTATCGTTTTACTTATTAATAATTATGTAATGAGTTATTTTTATTTGTGTCAGATATTTATTACTTTTTAGCTTTATTTCTTATAACTTATAGAGGTGTCAACTTGATTTTTTTTAATAGCAATATACTTATTTAAATAGATTACATAATATAAAATTATCTAATTAACAAAATGATGGGTTGATAACAACTAGTACTTCAGAAGTTGTATCGACTGTAAAATACTGTTTAAAGAAGAGCCACGGGTATGACTATTTATATCATTAGATATTTCTGAGCTGCACTCTTTCTTCTATCAATGTATAGAAAAGTTAATAAATTTTGAGATACTGATGTAAAAGTTGTTATCGATCCATCATTTTTGAGATCATATTAACTTCATATATTATCAAGCATTCATAGTCAATTCATTAGTAAGTCTATTATTTATATGATTTCATAAAATATGAAATATAAAAAACCAAGAAATATATTTTATCTATGCATTTGACAGCTTCTTATTATTTTATTTCATTAATTTCCATATATAATTAAAATATCAATGATTTTCAATAATAAATCATAAAAAAATTTCTTTAATCTGACAGATGTTCTTTAGAGAGAAAAAAATTGGATTAGAATCCTTTCATTCTGAGGTGAAAATTCAGTTTTTAGAGTTAACAATAAATAAAACCATTAAATATGAGCTAGAAATATACGTAATCATAATATAATTATGTATTAAACAATTATATGCTTTAGTACCAAAATGTTTTTTATTACAATAGTTGTAAAATAAAAAAAAATTGTTCATATTTTGACCACCTTAATATTTTTCTCTATTATGGTACTGAAATAAAGCTAAAACACATAAGCATATAACACTTATACCTCAAAATATACAAAAATATGTAACAAAAAATGTTGTATTTAGTTAATTAGTTTTCTAAAACAAATTTATAGCTTATGTAGATATCTCTAGAACCTTAGAAAAAAAAATGTAAATGCTAGAAGTTACGAGTCTTGAATATAAATATATAATAATATAAATATTATATAGTTAAATATATGGTTAATGATAATAATAATAACAATGATATATTTTCATTTTTTATTGCTATTAAAGCCCACAAAAAACTATTGTATCTTAAAAAAAGGAAGATTAATAATCTTATTTGTCTGGAACAAGGTGGATTATCTGACATTAAATAGCGAGATAGCAACTCTAATAACTAAGCCAATATCTTAATGAGAAATTAAATGAAGCCACCCCTAACTGAGTGTCAAACTCTAAAAGTATGCATTATGCACTTCTGTGTTTACGACTTGGCCACATTATCACATTGTATATACATTTAAATATAAAGAGATATTAATTAAAAATCAATATCTAAGAAAAAATGTTAATTTACCTTCATTATCTTCAACACCTTCTGATATTGCTTCTACTTCTCTTTGTTGACAGTAAGTTCCACGAAACTCAAGTCCACGCATTTGAAATGTGACTAAATTGTTACCCATTTCAACAATATGAACAAGACAGTTTAAGTAATCAGATGCTAATACAAAGCAATCTCCTTGAGACACATTTCCCCAACGGCCCATAATTAGATCACCACATAATGTGTGTTGCAATAAACGTGTAAGATGTTCATAAAATATTGAATTTAAATTATTATCATCTGCACCAAGATTTCTTTCTAAATGAGATGAAAGTTTGGTGTTTGTATGATCAACACGTCTAGTATTATAATCTCGCTCCCAAAATTTTACTGGTCGTGGATATGATGTCAAAAAAATAGCACTTCCTGAAACATTGGTACATTATTTTTATTGTTCTACAAGAAATATGATATTTTTATATCATAGAACTAGAATAACTAATACAATGATACCACTTTAAAGAATTGAATTTTTTTAAAGAATTTGAAACTAATAATTTGATAAGTAAATTTTGAGTTATTGGTAATTTTTTTGAAATTTAAAATAGGAACTGTCTAATATCTTGTAAATATATTATCATATTACTATTACTTAGAGCATATAGAACATTTTATTTTTACTATAAAGCCGAGTTTTTAAAAACAAATTTTCAGGATTAGTGGATTTTTTATGCCCAAATACATGTTATTGATTTCAAATCTTTTTTTTATTAATATTTATGTTGTTTAGTATTTTTATATAAATTTTTGGGCGGAAGGTGATATAAGTATAGACTTTAAGTTTGAAATCACTATAAATTATAAGTAAGGAACTTTTCAAAAAGTTTAAATAAATTATATAAAATTATTTTTTACACATGAAACTAAAATTATATGAAAGACAATGTTTTTGGATTTTCAAGATTAATTCCAAGTACATAAATAAAATATAATTTTTATTTTCCTCAGCAATATTACTTACCTAAAAATGGATATAGTGGTGATGAAATTACTGCTGATATAAATGCTTGAAGAAACATCATTGCTGAATGTGGTACAGAAAAAGGTTGTGCAAAAGCATGAAAGGCAGAACCCCATGTAATTTGCCAAGGAGCAATGTATGTAATAACAAATTGAAGCTAAAAACATGAAATTTATTTCAATAACATTTTTTTATTTTAAATAATAAGAGATTAAAAGAAAATATACACTTTAAATTATTAGTAATATGATAAGAGAGTTTAAAGTAGAGTAAATACAAGAAAATTAAGTTATACTATCTCCTAGTATTCACTACTATTCTCACATGAAAAAATTCCTTTATTATTTTTCTGGAGAGTTTATAGGATGCCAGTAATTTTACAAATTATTTAATTTTATTGATGTCCGTACTTTTGTTATTATAATAAGTATAAAAATGATTTCTGCAAAATTCAATACAAATCCAACCACATTTACATAAGATAACTTGAGTCCAAAGTTTAAATTTGATTTTTCTTTTTTATGAAAATCATTTTTAACTCTTTTAACTCTTTTAACTTTTTAAATATCAAAAATAAAAAAACAGTCTGGGAAAAAATATAAAAAGTTATAGTTTCTAGTGTGCTTTTATAGAACATCTGTATAAAAAAAAGTACAGAATTATATTTATGGAAATACTATGTATATACAGATATATAAGAATTGTATTTATAAAACATTTTGCATACACATCTATAAAGGTTTATACACATTAAAAAATATAAAATATTAAGTAGTCTGGCCAAACAAATAAAAAAAAATATATTTTTTATTTTTTTTTTAAATCAATAGTTAAAATTAAGAAAACTTGGCTATATATTGGTTAACTTTCAAAAATTTCTAAAATATAGAGTTCCAAAAATTATTTAGGATAGTAAATCTTTTTGTGTTTTATGCTAAAAATTTAAAAATATGCCAACATTTAGGGCAATTTTTTTTATTAGATAGTATAATACTAAGTTCTTAAAATGTATAGTGACTTTACTAACTATATACTTAGGCATTTTATCATGTTATGGTAGGGACTTAAAAAAAAACTGCACAACAGTAAAAATAAGTCCTGAAAATATGTACTCAAAATTTAAAAATAATTTGATAGAGAATTAAAATAATAGACCCTTTGGTAGATTACTCTTTATTAACACTAAAAAGAATCCAAAATTCTAAATGTATAATATATATATTGTAGCGACCAAAACATACGCAACGAATATTCTCGAATGTTCTCGTTATCAAAAACCTTCGAGAAACTTCGATAACGCCATAAGATAACCTACGCGGGTATAGAATATTCTAGAATTAGCGAGAGCCTTATCGGAGCTATATATATATCGGAAGAATCAGTCAGTTCAGTTAGTTCAGTTCAGACTGTCTAGTCCGCGATACGCTACACGACCGCTACACCCCGCCGCTGTTGTCATCGTGTATTATGTTTACTTCGATTATTTTATTTTTCCTTACTGTATATACATATATTTTCTTNGCAGTTAAGTAATAATCAATGATAAAAGTTTCTGAACATTTGAGATAATCTAGTTGAAAAAATAGAACAGCAAATGCTAATATGTTATATTGCTTAGATTGTTGTGAAAATGAACATCGAAAGCATTTCAATGCGCATATTGATAAAATTAAGGAACCTAAAGAGGTTCCTAATTTTTTTACAACAGTAACACTATCAGACGTTAAACAGCCAATAAACATAAGCGGATAAAGTACATTACGCTCAAAAAAACATAAATATACATAAACCTGTAACATAAAATTATAATAGTTACTTAAATTAGAATTACTTAGTTATAAATTTTGATTTACTTTTTCAAACCACATAATTTTGGCTAATTGTTTAACTTCATATTGGTTGTACTCCAAAGGTTTAAGTATAGGATGAGCAATACAAAGCCAAGGTAATTGCTTCCGTAGCTGTGGTATTATGTAATGCAATACAAATCCAACACTAAATGTTATACACCACATTACCTAAAATTGTATTAAGTATAGATTCAAACAAGTTAAAAATCTGTTAATAATTAAGCAGGACTTGTAAGTTAATGCATACATATAGTTTCTTTAGATCATCGAAAAACTTACAAAGTGATTTATAAATCCATTTTGTAACAATAGTGAAATTAAGTTTAACAGTGGATATTTTTAGTGTATGAGATATTTAAATAAATTAGAAAAAATTTAACTGAAGTTTTTAAGTAATAAGTACACAATATTGTCTATAATTAAAAAACAATTATTTTCAGAAAAGGTAAAAAAAGAACACAGATATTATTACTTACTGGATTTAATTCTGGTTGAAGAGCTAAAAATATATTACTAGAATGTATGGCATAAATAATTAAACAAACAACTGGACAAAAAATCAAGTCTGATTTTAATCTTCCATTTATTGTGTCTTGTAATTCTTTTGGCCAATTATCTTGAATTTCAATTTCATCGTCTAACTCTAAAAATTGAATAATAAAATTAGATCTAGTAATTTTTACTGCAAAAATATTTCCAATAACCAGATTTGGTAGTTTGTTCAACACATCTAGTTTCTTTTTGTTCTGAATCTTTATTTAATTTTTCCATTTCTTTTTTAGGCCAAGAACATTCTACATCAGGTCTAGAAAATATATCTTCATTTGGCCATAAATAAGTTTTTAACAAATTTAATATTGGTGCTGGGTCACTTGAACTTCGACTCAAATGATATGAAATAGATGTGAGAATGGCACAATATAATGAAAAAAGCACATTTCTCGATGATCCAGTCCATTCATATAGTGCGACATAAGCAATACCATATAATATTGATACAGCTAAACAACTTCGAACTACACAATAAGCAGAACCTTTTAATGAACTTGTCGCGTTACCTCCAAATAAGTGTATATCAGTTTGTTCTAATGCATACATGAAAAATGTGTTTACTTGTGGCAATAAGCCCAAGCTAAACGCTATTGGTAAAAATAATAAAATATTTTTTAAAAAATCACGTAAAGTTTCTAACATGTATGTTATGTGTATTGTAAACCCATATAATTTTAATTGATAAAAAGTTTGACCTGAATTTAACTGCAAATGAGTTAAAAGAAGAATAGAAGAAAATAAAATAAAGTAAACTGGCCGACTATAAACAACAGTTTTGTTAAATCCATGAGTAGGAGATGCAACATCAGGCTGAACAGATTTTATTAATGAGTATTGACAACCAGCAATAACAAAACAAAATATAAATGCCTGAATGTCTTGATAAAAGTTGTAATATAATACAAAAGCACCAAGAACAGCTACAGTTGTTGCTAGAGCTATTGTAATACAAAGTTCAAATAAACTCAAATTTCTATCAACAGCTGTTAGTAAAGCAAGGCGGTCAAAACGAATTTTGAAACATATTGTTTTAAGTGGCTTATATGGATAATATCTTTTAGGTTTTGGCATGCCAACATTTGGATCAAGAAGATCAAATCGTAACTGTCTTGGTATTGCTGGATATTCATCTTGATAATCTGGTCTGATGTTTTCATGATCATGCTCTAAATTTTCTTCGACAGGTGTAATAATAGGTGATATATTAAAATGACGGTATCTTTGAGGTTGATTTTGAAGCCAATATGAGTCATCAGTTTCAAACTGATGTTGATGTTCATAACCTCGATTTAAACGAGGAAATAGCCGAACAGGGGAATGATTAAATACAAGATCATCAGAAGACTCATCACGGCGAGATGTACAAGAAAATGGCTTAATGATAGAAGAATTATTATTTAACATGTCACGAAAAGTATATGTCATCCATTGCCCATTTTCATCTCGGAAAAAATGTACAGCTCTAGAATTTATTAAAATAATATATTTATTTGTTATATAGTTAAAAAAATTGAATCACAAATATATATTATTTAACTACCCATCTGATGTATCTTCAGAACAAGCAGCAAAATTAACACCATCAGTTGTTTGCAAAAATGGAGAATTGTGTGAATCACGAGATCTTGCATGACGATTACTTTGACTATGATAACAAAAAGTTAATATTTGTTAATTTTATAATAAAGTTAACAAAATTAAATCATTTGATTCAATTCAAATTAATTAAATCATAATATATTCAATTCTGATGTTTATGTCAGCTAACCTGACATGCCGTTGTCTCATTCTACTACGACCCTCTATTCGGTTAGATCCAAGCTCAATGCTTTCTGGAACCATCTCATTTTTCAAATTTGAAACACGAGGTTTATTATCATTAATTAAATCCACAGTTGGATTTATTATAAGTTCTGAGCTAGCAGGCAATAGTGAACTCAGTTCATTGTGTGAACCAGCTGAAGATGAAGCTCCTTCATTTACATTAAGTGTTGTCATTCTAATACATAATAATATTATTTATTAGTTGAATTTGATAAGAAATAAAAAAAAATTATATAACATTCATAAAGACTATTTTTGAAATATTTATTGAAAAAACTCTTAACTAGTTAAAAAAAAAATGGACTTGTAAGTTATCTTCTGATGTACAAATTATAAAGTTAAATGATCTAAATCTTGTTAGAATACTATATTTATATTATATGTTTGGTATTTTTTTAAATTTGAAATCAGTTTTATTTATATTTAAAATTGGGGTTAATATAGTGATCTTTCAATAATAAATTAATCTTACGCATCAGGTCTACTAAGTGTATTATTATCAATCCACTCATCAGTAACTGTTGGATAACTTTTTGATTCAATTCCACATTCCATATCACTTTTATTTTTATCACATCTGCATCGTCGTGATTCTAAAAAAAAATTTTTTTTTCAAAAATTACTTCACATTGATCATATTTTTTTAAACTTTATTACACCTATGAAGTAATTGGACTATAAATAAGGAATATATATAAAAAACATAAATATTATAAAACAGTAATTTTTGGTCTCTTCATTAATATATTAGGAGATGAGTGATTTATTTGTATCTGAAATCCAAAAAAGAAAAGACATTATGGGACATTTAAATTAAATTTTAGATTTATAAACTTTAAAATTAAAAAGAAAAAAATAATTTATAACAAATTTTGTCAAGAACTAAAGTTTTACCAATTAAGTTAAATTTCAATTTATTCTTAGAATTTCATTGGCATACATAATTTATAAGTTATGGCTAAAATTATTGAAAAACCAATATTAAGATTCTTCACAACTAACAAAGCCAACAAGGACTGATGGGTAGTCATTGAAAGTTTAACAGTAATCAAGTCTAAAAAAAGCATAGTATGGTATTAGAATCTACATAAGGACAAATATTACCACAAGGACACCGTCCTATGATTTTGATTCAAATATACTTCCAAATAGATAGATAACATAATATGGGGCTGAGGGAAACATGATACCATGTCACACCTGATTACAACCAAATATATTGAGTCATTTACGTATCATACATGTTTAGGAAAAAAAAACTGCAAAGCATTAATTCTAATTTTACAAACCATTTAATTTATTTTTACTAGTTCTTCTATGACTTTTCCGATCTGAATCATTTTTTATACTAAGATGAGGAGTTGAAGTTGCTTTTCTTTTTTTATTTGATTTCTTTCCTATAAAAAATTACTCAAATTACATAAAATATAAACATTATACAAAATGTGTTTTACAACTCACCTTCTTTTGTTTGTTTAGTCTTTGCTAAAGCATTAGAACTTTCAAATTCGGCTTTTGGTGTTGTTTCAATATCTTCTCTACAAAGCTCTTTTAATTCACACTTATTTCCTACAAATCAGACGACAACTTATAATATCTATAAATAGAATGAAACAGATCTAACTGACAACTCCTATAATTTTTGATACAATTAACATTTCAATGTAATTAAAAAAAAACCGTAGCAAAGTGGGATCACAGCACAGTGTGGACGTGTCACAATTGGAACAAGAACAGATGATATCTGACAGTGAATAAAATCACTATCATAAATAATGCTTCGATACAAATCTGTAGACAATGTTTAATTTTAAGAAATTGGTGGATTATTCCAAAAGTAAAATGAACTCCTATTTAATAGAATTAAGAAAATAATGCGAAAAAGTTATTTCAAAGGGGTGGGTCAAACCTTGTACTCCGATCTTAAAAGACTGTATTGTAACCGATGCAACAACTGTACATTACAATCATTAGTAGCTAAAATGTACAACTTAAGCTAATTCAAAAATTCAAAGTTGTTTTTCTTAACTTGGAGGACGCAAAATATTAAAAATAAGTTTAAATTTATATTCCATGAAAGTTAGATTCATATAACTTTTATACAAATCGGTGGCCTAATTAATATGGCAAACTCTTATTAAAAAAAAAAAATTTAACACAAAAATAGCATGTTTTTTAACAACGACAGCTATTTGCAAATAGAAGATAAGTTATCGGAACAATTTTTTTTAATTTATAATATGTAATATAAGCTATAATTAATAATATGTTTAAGGACGTATCATTGAAATAAATCAGTTTGGTAATCACTGAAAATGTGGCAACAGACATAAAAAAAACACATCATGGAAAATTAATACCTTCTCAGCATCTCACCAAAGCTAAAAAAATTATGCATTTTAAACTACATTAGAATCATATTTTTTATTATTTAATTTTAACAATAAAACAATAAAACAATTTTTATTTTAATTTAAAAATAGCTAATATATTATCACTTTTCTTATAAAAATGATTAATGGGTATCAATGACAAACAAATTGCGAGTAGGTATAGCTCTTATTGGTGTATATTTATAGTGCATACTTCAACCATGTTACATACCCACTATATATATTAAAATGTTTGTAACTTAATAATTCCTCATTCTATAATTATTACCGAACCAACCATTAATTATTTTTATAAGAAAAGTCCATAAAAACTAACTTTTTAAAAAAATTAAAAATTAAAAAAAAAAATGTATATTATTTATTATAATAAAAATATAATTTTAAAGTATTTTAAGAATTTAAAAAAAAAAATGTTTTATCATAATGAAATGTTGACTGTGTTGAAAGTTATAAGGGTTATTAGTTAGACCTACTTCACCATATAATTAAAAACTTTAGAGAGTTAATTTTTAAATATGTTGTGTGAACTATAACTTTTTTTAATTCCTCACTCACTAGAATTATTATCTTCTGAAGTAGTGGTATAATCATCATCAGAAAATGTAAAATGCCATGGAACCAATCTAATATTTTCTTCTTTTCTTACTTTATGCAGCATGTTAAAAATTGTATTTAACATTTTGACATAAACTATTTAATTAAAAAAAAATTTTTAAAGCCACTTACTAATTATGTCATCAAATTCTGATTCACTTTCTGTATGTTCAAATAGCCAATCTAAACCAAAATTTTCTGGTGAATCTACTGATTGTTTCAAAAAATTGTCTAAAAAAATATTTAATTTAATAAACAATTGGTTTTAACTTGCTATATTTTATACAAGTTTCTATTGTTCTCATTGTTTGTAACAATTTATCTGTTTCCTTACTTACTGAACACTATGTATATTAATATAGTTTAAACCTTTAACCTTTTTTTTAATTGATTGACTGATCATTAATTAATAACGTTTGAACTAGTATTTTGGAAGTTACTAAAACTTTAAAATATAAACTGGGAATGTGGGGTGGATTCAGTAATTTTTATTAATTGGCATTATTCAGTTTACCTTCTCTTAATATTTAGATATAAAACAAGGTAAAAAGAATATGATATAAGTGATTGACTATAAAAATTATTTAATAACTCATTAACCAAAAATTATGTGTCACTAAAAATAATTAATTTTTTTTTTTAATATTATTATTTAAGGAGAAATATATGTGATATTACCTTCAGGTTTATTCACATCTATTAAGGCAACTTCAATGTCACTATCCATTTTCAAAACTCCGTTAACATTCTCTGAACATAGTTTCCAATTATCTACATGACATGTTAATAAAGGTGATCTACTACCTGCTTCATCGTCATCATCACTATCAATTATTGTGTGTATAATTCCCTGATTAGAACTATGTTCTTCACAATGTTCCACAATTGGATAAACAATATCACTTGATGTAAAAACAAGTTGGTAACTAGATGTTTTTCCTAAGTCTAAAACAATTTTGATTTATATTTAAAACAGTCATTTCTAAAAAAATAAATAAATGATATAGTGTATAATTGGTTGCTACTATGATACAGGTAAAATTGAATTTTTGACTTCTAGATAAGTGCCATAAAGAGGCTTAAAAAATAGCACATTTAATTTTGGAAATTTTATATAAAATGAAAGATACTATCAAGTAATGTAAAATTTTATTAAAGATTAAAAGTTATTTATAATAAATAAATTAAATAAAAATTAGAATTTATAATGAATATAATATAATTTTAATTAAAATATTCATTATAAAGTAATGTAGTGATTTAGGTTTGAAGTACTGATACAATTTGTTTACTAATAAAAATATATATTGATAATAAGTGTACAGATATAAAAAATGTACAAGATTATGCAAAGTTATAGTTTGAACATTTAAACATTTTTTTGTGTATTTATTAGAGTAACCTAACTTTGGAATATTTAATTAATAAATATTTAATATTGTTACTTACATACTATTCAATTGACATGAAAAATAATAATAATTAGGAGTTCTAGCTCTTTAGCTAGAATATTTTTAAAGAAGTTACCTTTATCTTTAGAAAAAACATCACTACACGTTGAATAATCTGAACTAACACTTTTTGGGTCCCTTTGAAATGTTGAATTATTACTATCATTTGGAAAACAGTCCTACAATCAAAAATGATCTAAATGTTGAAACAAAAAAGTGTAATTAAAAAAAAATTATTTTATATACTGTAGAAACTGTTATGAAGTCTTGTCTGCGTTCATCTTGATATTTCCATATTTCTGAAAAGCTTTTTAAGTCACCTCGTTCATAAGGCCTACTAGTTTTGACATGATTTGGTTTTTCAACAAAAATTTGATTATCTATTGTAATCAATTTAAATGTTTTACTAATTGAAGCTAACAAAAATATAAGATAAATAAACAACTAGATTGATTTACAAAAATATTAATCCAAGTAACAACTAGTTAACTAGTACTATACTATTATTATATGCTTTATATAAAACAAATTGGATAATCTATTATTAATACAAGGAACATAAAAATATAATTTTTCCCTAAATACTCTGGACACTAATAAATACTATTCATAACATTCTACAAACGATTATATAAAAAAATAATAACACTTAGTAATCTTATAGTACTTAGAGATTTATCATAGAGAAGATTATACATTGTATCATAGAAAGACTGTGAATATAAAGTTTAAATAATAACATTATTAAAAATTGTTTTGTTTGCCCTCGAGTGTTGAGGTATGAATTTTTAAATAAGGTGACTAAATAATGGAACCATACTTAAAAAGATAACGAAAAAATGAAAAATAAAGTATTTTAAAATATTAATAGATGGAAAACTATGGCAATTTTTATTAATAAATCCAAAGAGCTGTAATGCTTTATTTTCTAAGTGTAAAATACGTTCATTTAAAGTATATTTCCAATGAAATACTATACTCTAAATCTATATATAAATTAACACTAGAGATTACTTTGTTATTATGAACATTATGATTAAATTGGAACGCTGAGGCCCAACTAGTAAATTTTTAATTTTATATTTATGAGAATTAATTTTTACAAAATTAAAATTACACCATGTTTTCAGATTAAGTAAATCATTTTGTAGTAGATTAGAATCACTTATGTTATTAATAATTCTGAAAAATTTAAGGTATCTTCAAACAGTAACTGAATTGAATTATGATGTTTGAGGTCATTTATATATCAGATAAAGAATAGAGACTATGTAAGACCATTGAGGAACTCTCAAGGATATTAAATATTAGAAAACATACTATTAAGTGAAAACTCTGATTTACTTTTTTCTTGGAGATGTAAACCAGAATCTGTACTAGTAGAGCTACTTTGCCTTTCATTATCTAAAATTCATATAAAATTAAGTAGTTTCTAAAAAATTTCATTGTTTCAAAAAATTACTAGATTCATTTTGATGATATGCTGTTCCAGATGTAGAAGGCTCATTTTTGTCTATACTATCAACTCCACCTAGAATCTGCATTTCAATGCCTTCTTCCTCTCTACAAGAAAAATTACAATTGTTATTGATTATTTTTCTTAAAAACCAAATATATGTCTATTTTTATTATAAAAAAATAACAGATTAGTCATACTAATTTTTCCTTAAACTACAAACTTATAATTTGTAACAAATATTTTTTTAATTTGAAGAGAGGACTCTATTACTTTTATTTTTGAAACTTAACACCTTTTAATAGATGATAAGTAAATGCCCTATTATTAATTATATAAAAATTGTGTCGACAATCATTTGAAAATATTTTTTATGTATTAAACTACTATTCGAATGAGTATCTTTTAAAATATAAGATGGGTAAATATTAAAAAAGTTTCTTCACATAAACATTAAGCATTTAGTAAATAATATATGAGTTTTTTAAGCCAAACCTAAACCATATTTGAAAAAAATTTGGAGACTAATATTACTTTTGGGAGCATAGCAAATTACACAATGGTCTTAATGCGTATAAATTATGTAATTTATAAAATGTATAAATGCACATTTATATGGTTTTTATTTAAACACCTCAATGTTTTTTTATGTTAGAAAAGTTTCTTTTTTTAAATCTTAAACTTTAGTGATAGTAAATGAGATTACCAGTACAATGAGTATGTTGCTCTAACAATAATTAATGATGAAAACAATTTAACATACTTGTTAGGCTCTCTTAATGGAGGTCGTCGGCACTCAAGATCAGAACTACTATCCTTTTTGGTGTCTTCTTCTACAATATATTCTGTAGTATCAAACATGCAGTGCAAAGACCAATTTATACATTTTATTATTGTAATGATCAAACTTACAATTGTCGAATATAAAAGCCATATTAGAATATCTGACACATACTAAAATAATAGATAACTGTAAATATAGTTTTTTTTTTTAAATAAAAAATTTTAATCTATAAAAGTATGATGTTTTTTTATGTTAGACTAATTAATAAAAAGCATCATAATTTTTTAGTTATGTTAAAATTACGTACTAAATGAACAAAAAATGGTAAACAAAGTAAAATGAGCCATAAGTAAAGGTGGAATGTATTTGTGAATATGCTGTGTTTTGGTTCGTAATACCATCCTCCAGTGAAAGAAGCCCAAATTCCTTGGCGTAAAATGTCCCAAAATTGAGAACCCATCTTCTCTACCACTCATTTGTGCTTTGTATAACAAGTCGATTTCAAGTACAAACAATCATTATTAGTCTAAAAATTAAAAATATAATTAACATAATCTAAATTAGGTCATCAAAATATCAATGGTTATAATAATAAATCATTAGTTTATATATGCTTAGTTATCTTTTAACCCATTAAAATTAAAAAAATATATATATAATGTAATACAAATAGTTTTTAAAAAACATTCATGACATATTATAATTATTAAGTAAATTTGAGATTAAATTAGAAAATATTGAGTATAATCTAAATTAAATCAAGGCATAAAAAAATTTTAGGTAATGAATATTCTATGCATCATAATAAATATTTGATTAAACTAATGATTTAATAAAAACAAGTTAAGGGTATTTCCTAAAGTTAAAACACATGGAAATACAATTATATTTTTTCTCTCTTAGACATTGACATTACAAACTGATTAGGTAGTATATTATCTGTAAAATATATCTATTATTAAAAGAGCTTTTTCTAATCATTAATATTTGTAAATTTCAATAGAAACCATAATGAAAAAAGTCTATAACAAAATGTAAAAAAGTTTAAATATAAATTAATAAAATGTAGTACCTTAATTTAGTTTGATTAAGCTCAGCATATTGTTTATAAAGAAGAATAATTGCTCTAAAAGAAAATTTACATTATAATTATAAAAATATTAAATTACTTAATGTCTACACTTAGGAAGCAAATTATGAACAATTATTAAATGCTTAAAAATATCTTAATCAAAACTTCAAACACTAGATAATTGCTATCAATAAAATAATATAGATAATCTTAAACTAATTATATTAGTTTGTTTGAAGCCACATTGTCAGCCATTGACACTCATAAAATAAATCTGATAGTTCTTCAATGATAAGAAATTCATAGATTATTCAATTATATCTTATGTTCTGTCCGCTTTATTAATGATAAACACGCTTCCATTTTGCTATTCATTCATATTATATATATATTATAATCAGAAGTAATCCTGACAATTTATCTTTTATATATCTAAAAAGACTTGCTGGGTTGCCAAATTTGACATTCTATAATCTTTTCGATTGCTTTAACTCTGATAATAACTAATAAAACATAAATCGATCCAGAGTAATTGCGGCACATTAATATAAATAAAATTAATTTAAGCACATGTTGCTTATACATCATTTTTGATAAACGTTATTCTAGTATTTTATTTTGATAATTAAATATTTATTTATAAAACAAATCAAAAGGCTTACATTTTTAGTATTAGATACAAAAAAAAATTGCAAAATGGATGCAAGTCCTATGGAAATAGAAGAAGAAAGGAAAAGTTTTCAAAGAATTATTACAGCTTTTATGTATTACAGGTAAAAAGTTTCTCAGTTATTATGTATTATTCAAAATTAATTTAGCCAGTTTTAAAAGCAAACATTGATAAATTATTTATGCATTGAAGATAATTTTTATTACTCCAAAATTTTCTGGCATTAAATCATAAAATTTGTTTTTATTTTAAATTGGATTTAAAAAGTTTGTATTAGAGAAATTTCAAAAATTAATTCTAAAATGTAAAGTTTAAGAGATATTTATGTAGTAAATACTCTATGAGTTAACTAGATACTTATAAGAACTTTTTTTCCCAGGACACACTCATTAAGTAGGCTGAATAAAAGTGTGCACTACTTGAAGTCATTACCAGAACAACATCAAAGACTTTTAATAAACTACAGCACTAGTTTAGAAACTATAAGACACTGTATACAATCTAACTATAATGTTATTTTAGAAATAATTAAAGATACTACCTGTTTATTTGAGAACCAAGATACTCCTCCATCTGATCGTTGGGTAAATAATTTATTTATTAATGTAGAAATTAGTTGTTATATATTGAACTATCATAAAAAAGGTGGCCAAAAAAGAGTGCTGGTAGCAGCCACTTATAACTAATATTTTTTTTATATGTTAGAAAATAAAAGAAATGAAAGCCTGTTGTATCAGCATATGCATTTAATGGATTGATTTAGAATAATTATATACAGAGTGTTCAGTAAGTAAGGAAACAGGTCAATTGTTACAAACAATAAGAACAATACAAATCCGTTTCTTTACTTATTGAACTTTCTATATGTTGATTATCATAAAGTTGGAAAACTTATCATTATTATATTGCAAAGAGTTGTATATTTTATATAAAAACATTTTTATTGTAGCGTGCTCCAGATGTTTGTAAACCTATAGCAACTGATTTAGAAAAAGTTCAGTCTACCCTGAAACAATTTGTACGAGATTGGAGTAGTGAAGGAATTGAAGAGCGGAATACTTGTTACAAACCTATCATTGATGACATTCTGAAGGAGTTTCCTTTAGATGCGTATGTTATTATTATTACTTCAATTTTTTTTATGAAAACCAATTAGTTAAATTTTTTAGTGTCACACCACATGAAATTAAAGTGCTGGTACCAGGAGCTGGACTGGGAAGATTAGTATTCGAAATTGCAAAACTTGGTTATAATAGTCAAGGAAATGAGTTTTCCGTATTTATGTTAATAGCATCAAACTTTGTTCTAAACAAGTAAATGCTTCAAATTATAATTTTTATTATTGTTTAATGATTTAATGTTTTTACATGTAGATGTAGAGGAGTAAATATATATAGGTTGTATCCATGGATTCATCAATGTGATAATAATTTAGAGACTGAACATCAAATGCAATGCATTTCATTTCCAGACATTAATCCTGCTCAGGAATTACCAAAAAATGCATCAATATCAATGGCTGCGGGAGATTTTTTACAAGTAATTATATTTTTTTAGGATATAGATTATAAGTATTTCATCAAATAACATTTTTTTCACAAAATTTATATTTAGGTTTATACAGATAAAAATGAATGGAATTGTATTGCTACCTGTTTTTTTATTGATTGTGCTAACAATATAGTTGCTTTTATTGAAACAATTTATAATATACTTAAACCTGGTGGAATTTGGATTAATTTAGGACCTCTGTTATATCATTACAGTAATGTATTTGACCAAGATTCAATTGAACCAAGTTATCAAGTTATTAAAGAAATTATAACTGGTATTGGTTTTAAGTTTGAAGTAAGAAATATTCTTTGTTGCTAGATATTGTAATTTATAGTTTTTTTAGCTTCGATGCGAAGCTGAGAAGGTATTGGTTTTACTATGATGTGTTTTTTTTTTTTTTTTT